AGCCTAATGCTCTTCATCCTCTCAGTGCTCTCCTCTCAGCGCTGTGTGTGTGTGATGGGGCTGATGTTGGTGAAGGTGGCGTGTGCTATTTGAGCATGCATTTGGCATTCACCGTTAGCTGGCGGACGGACAAGTGAAACGGGAAGCGCAGGGTCGGCTGTGCATTAAACCAAGTGCGAGTGAGATAAAGACAGTGAGAAGAGCGGGCATCGTTTGAAGAAGATGGCGCCAAAAAAGTCTACAATTGTGCTCAATGTGGAGCAGTTCATTCACGACATCGAAGAGCGTCCGGCCATCTGGAATCGCAATTTCCATTGCAACAAAGCCTTCCTCGAGCAGATGTGGGACGAGTTAAGCGGAGCGCATAAGCTGCCGAGTAAGTAGTACATTCGTTTATAAGCATATGGCCAAAAAGGAGTTTGTTCCTTTGACAGTGATGCCAACTGAGAGAGGGAAATCATTGTATCAGAGTTTTTAAACTACTTTTATAAGTTGCGAACTTTTAATTTCTTTCCTTTATAATTCCTCCAAAAATAATATTGTAATTTTTTAAACTTTATTAGATACAAATTAAATTAAATTCTTTAATTTTAAAGACAAAAAGTAGACCAAAAGTAAAGCTTATTACAAATTATACAGTTACCTGTTCTGATCAGACTTTTCGTCAAAGCTTAGTTTACATCACTGGCAATGGTTTATCTCTTTATCGCTTTCGCTCTCTAATTTACCCCTCCTTCCTCTACCAGAGATCGTGCTCAAGGCCAAGTGGAAGGGATTACGGGACAATTTTCGTGTGGAGTACAAACGCATACCGCGGGCGGATAACGGTGACTTTATGGTGGACCCGGCAACCTTTGAGTCCAAGTGGCTCCACTACTACGCCCTGTTGTTCCTAAGTGAGTGGTCCTGGTTATTAATCATCGGTTCAGTTATTTAACTCGCTCCCATTTCCAGCTGATCACATGCGTCATCGACTACCGAAGAACGAACAGGATCAGTCGTTCTACTTTAACCAACAGAGCGAGGATTGCGAGAAGACGGTGGTGGAACCGGACTTGACCAATGGCCTGATACGCCGACTGCAGGACAGCGACGAGGATTACGAGGAGGAGGAGGACATGGATGCCGAGGCGGAGGCGGATGGGGATGCTAGCCAGGCCACTACAATGGAGGATGTAATGCCCACGCCGCCGGCTGCCCATCAAATGAACCAAGTAAGCACAACGCCATTGGCCACCGGCGCTCTGAAGGCCCAAGAGGAGGCTCATCAACATGCTCTGCTCAAGGCGGGATTGCTACGAGCTCAACTTCTGGAGCTGGCGGAGAAGGAGGCTGAAGATCTCAGCAAGAAGCCAGCACAGCAACAGCAGCCGGTACAAGTGCCATTGCCGCTGCAAATGCATTTGGTGGAGCCGCCGGCTGCCCACTGTTCGCCACCGCCAGTGGTAACCACTACATCCGCTCAAGTCCAACAACCCGAACCAGGTGCTGTTTTGGCGCCCGCAACCACCACATCCGCATCATCTGTGTGCTCCAATGGAGGAACACCGATTGGCATGGGCAAGAGATCCGTATCGCCGCCACCGTTGTACAACAAAGCACACCATCCGCTGGCCACATATGCGACCAAGGAGCGCACCGAGGACTTTGGCTCATCCGGCGCCCCAGTGGGAGGTGCTCCTGCTGCAGAGCACCTAAGCTTCACCCAGCACTCCTACGCCAATGGACTGATACCCGCCCTCAAGCTGAAGCGGCCGCGTCTCTCCGAGGATAGCAACTTCAATGGCTCCTCGACAATGGACACGCCGATGGTGCCCGAGGACGATGACTACCACTACTTGTTGAGCCTGCATCCGTATATGAAGCAGCTAACGGCTGCCCAGAAGCTGCGCATACGCACCAAGATACAAAAGCTCATCTTTAAGGAACTCTACAAGGAGGATCTCGAGGAGTCCAAGTAGAGATATATGTCTAGAATAAGCCGAAGACTGTACATACTCCCAGCAGTAGGTTAGACCGTAAGGATTAATGCTTAGTTTATGTCCATCATGCCATGCTACTTTTGATTCGACTTCTAGTTGAGTGCTCACTCCGAGGAAAGCTTGCGAGTGTGCGCCATTTATACCTAAGCACAATAATTACCTTGGAAATAAAACAGAAATGTAAAGATTCAACGAGAGAAGAGTTTATTTAAGAAGGAAAAGGGTTTTTTTTTTTTCGTATTTAAAAGATCGTTTTGCTAATTAATATTAAATTGTGTTTTAGGTGAGGTATACGTTTTGGATGATGGCGCCGAGGTGGACTTGGATCTGGGTAACTATGAACGATTTCTGGACATCACCCTGCATCGGGACAACAATATAACCACGGGAAAAATCTACAAGTTGGTCATTGAAAAGGAGCGCACGGGCGAGTACTTGGGCAAAACCGTTCAGGTTGTCCCACACATCACGGATGCCATCCAGGAGTGGGTGGAACGTGTGGCCCAAACACCTGTCCAGGGCTCATCAAAGCCACAGGTGTGCATTGTGGAATTGGGCGGAACCATTGGCGATATCGAAGGCATGCCCTTCGTGGAGGCTTTCCGTCAATTTCAGTTCCGTGTCAAGCGAGAGAACTTTTGCGTGGCCCATGTATCGCTGGTGCCGTTGCCCAAGGCCACAGGCGAACCCAAGACGAAGCCAACCCAGAGTTCGGTGCGGGAATTGAGGGGCTGCGGCCTAAGTCCCGACTTAATTGTCTGCCGTTCAGAGAAGCCCATCGGTCTGGAGGTCAAAGAGAAGATCAGCAACTTTTGTCACGTGGGTCCCGATCAGGTGATCTGCATCCATGATCTGAACTCCATCTACCATGTCCCACTTCTGATGGAGCAGAACGGTGTGGTTGAGTATCTCAACGAGCGACTGCAGCTGAACATCGATATGAGCAAGCGAACCAAGTGAGTTGGGTCTAAAGAAAAGTTTTAAATGTATAAACTTTATTTCTAATTCAATTTTTAGATGCCTGCAGCAATGGCGCGATTTGGCCCGTCGCACAGAGACCGTTCGCCGGGTGGTGACCATTGCCATTGTGGGCAAGTACACCAAGTTTACGGATTCATATGCATCCGTGGTGAAGGCTCTCCAACATGCCGCCTTGGCTGCCAATCGTAAACTGGAGCTGGTCTTTATTGAATCGTGCCAGCTGGAGGAGGAAACGCTGCAAACGGAGCCCGGCAAGTACCACAAGGAGTGGCAAAAGTTATGCGAAAGTGATGGCATACTGGTGCCCGGTGGCTTCGGTTCCCGTGGCATGGAGGGCAAGATTCGGGCCTGCCAGTGGGCCCGTGAAAATCGAAAGCCACTGCTTGGCATCTGTTTGGGCCTGCAGGCGGCAGTTATTGAATTTGCACGCAGTAAACTTGGTCTGAAGGATGCCAATACCACGGAGATTGATCCCAATACGGCCAATGCTTTGGTTATTGATATGCCAGAGCATCATACGGGTCAATTGGGTGGCACTATGCGTCTCGGTAAGCGAACGACTGTCTTTGCCGATGGTCCCAGTGTGATACGTCAGCTGTACGGGAATCCAAAGACCGTGGAGGAGCGACATCGACATCGGTATGAGGTTAATCCCAAGTATGTGCCGCGCCTGGAAGAGCAGGGCATGCGCTTTGTGGGCACGGATGAGGACAAGACCCGCATGGAGATTATCGAGCTGAGTGGACATCCGTATTTTGTGGCCACTCAATATCATCCGGAGTACTTGTCCCGTCCTTTGAAACCCTCACCTCCCTTCCTCGGCCTGATCTTGGCCTCTGTGGATCGTTTGACGCAATATATCCAGCGTGGCTGCCGCCTGTCGCCCCGCCAATTGTCCGATGCCTCGTCGGATGAGGAGGAGAGTGTCGTGGGCTTGGCCGGTGCCACAAAGTCCCTGAGGTCCTTGAAGTTACCTAGCACGCCCAAGAATGGGCTTTCGAATGGCTGCAATGGCAGCTCTAGCACTTCCGATGGAGAAGGTGCCTGCGGTGGGGTGGGCCACACCAATGGCCACGAATAATGTTATGACAATGAACTGATGTACCCGATGCTTGACTTGAACTTGTTTGAGATACTGTGTATAGAATGGGGTGGCGTCGATTTAAATACAGTTATTTCCCTTTTCCCAGTAGTTTTTCTAGCATGAATGGTAGTTTTTGTTTTTAAGTTCCATTAAAAAAAACTATATACAAACTGTATTTTTAGGAGAAATTTGATAAAATATTTCATTTCATATTCTCCAATGCTTAAAAGAGTTAATTGTTTAAAATTGTCAAAAGTCAATTTGAAATAACTCAACTTTATTTTGTATTCTTTTTTGGATTTAAATATGATTTTGAATTTATTAAAATCGACTCCACCCTGATTTTTGTATAGCCCCGGATATATGTAGCTTGACGTAGCCTCGCGTGTCTCTTTCTTCATCGACAGTGAATTACTAAAAAGAAAACATAGTTTATAATCTCTTCCCAAGAAACATCTACTTGTTTAACTTGCTAATATTCTGGTTAAAAAAAAGTTTGTCTTAATTTAAATATTAATTAAAGCAAAAAAGAAGTAAGCAAATTACCCTATCCATATAAATATATTTTTTAGATATAAAAATATGAACAAATTCAAATCTAACTGTGTTTTATTATTATTTTTTGTGACAATGAAATTCTGGCATGAGAACACCGCCAAATAGAGAAGCTTTTATTGTAATTCTCTGCTCTGCTTGTTGACGCAATTAGTCGGCTAAGCGAATAATTAATCAAAACCGTAGTACTCTTCGTGCATTATTCCGAACAACGATCCTCCTAGCGCCCATGCGGCAGATTCAGATGCCGGCTGGCTGGCGGACTGCTGGCTGGCGTTGTCAGCCCAGAGGCAGGCCCGTGTGCTCTACAAAAATAGATAAATAAGACAGGGCATACATTTGGGCGAGCCGATGCCACGAGATGAGATGAGATGGCTGCTGGCCAATTGAATCGGCGGCAGCGGAATCGCTATAATCTCAAACCACGAACAATGCGCATTCTTCATTGTTCGTTCAATTGAGTTACGTGGTCTAGTAGCTCTAGGTAATTTCGTACACAAAAATAGAGATCCAAATGAATCACAAAAAGAAGCCAAGGATTCGGAATCGTCCAAGGAATAAGTGTAACAATAAAGTGCAGGAGGATGATGCTCCAGGAGAAACTCCAGATGAAACTTCGGGGGGAAGACCCCCTAAAAGTGATCTCTCTGCTCAATCTACAACTGTTTCCAACCAGTTAGAGACTCCCCCAAAAAGTGCTCTCTCCCAGTTGAAAACTCCTCCAAAAAGTGTTTCCTCCCAACCAGAAACCTCCAAGGAAAACGAAACCATTAAATTTATACAACAATTGTTGCGTAGAAAATTGTTGGCCAAAAATAATGCAAATTCAGTTAAAGAACCAGAAGACACAGTGAGCATTAATCAACCCACCGTAGTAAAGCCATCCAAGGAAGCCAAAACTGAAGAAAAGAAATCAAAGAAGAATTCTCCAGAGCCCATTAAGAAGACACAAACCACAACAGCAACAGCACCCGGCAAATCTTCAAGAGAAGTCAAAGCAGATGAAGTGGACGAGCTGCTCAAGTGCTTGGGCAGCAAATTGCAAAAGGGTTGGTTTCGTCTCGGTTTCATTTATCAAATGTATTTTAAAAATATATATAATATATACCCAAAACGTAGGATCGGGTGAATCTCCCGCTGCGGCGCTATTTAGCAACCTTGGAAAGCTTTTTAGCCAGGCGCCGCCCAGCGATGTGGAGTCCTCAGATGATGAGGCCGAGTACATTGAGTACATATACAAGCCCAGGCAATATTTTATGGCCTCCTTATGCAATGTAAGTAGGTAGATTATCTTGTAGATAAAGATCTCGTAGCACTTTGTACCCCACCATTAAAGTTTTGCAAAGCGGATTTGTGTGGCCAAAATCGAATGCCCTGTTCCCGCTGCGGTCTTAGCTACTACTGCAGTGGCGGCCACATGAGGGAAGACCAGGAGCACCGCCAGCTCTGCTATGCACTGCGTCAAACTGTGGACCACAAAGGTGAGAGGGGATGAAGAGGAGTCTCCTGTCTGTCAACGAACCATAAATCATTCTAATGGCCAATTATCGGTGCTCAAATCCAGGTCACGAAATGTTCTACAAGTGCGGTGACTTTAGTGCCGAGCAGTTCCGTTCTTACCGAATTGTGTGCATCCGGCAGGTGGAGAAGGAAATGAATCGCCCACTCTCGGCCACGGAACAGGAACTGCTGCTTTTCCCACTCATTTGCAGCGAATCCAAGTGCCGGGAGCATCGTCTGAAGCGTCTGTCCATCTGCGGTGGCTGTGGCGAAGTGGCTTTTTGCAAGGATAAGCCAGAGCATCTTAGCAAGGAGCACACCAAGTGGTGTGGTTCCTATCGCCTTTTCAAAGCCTTTGTCATGTTCCAGGCAAAGTTTGGCAGGATGGAGCCATCGCTGCCGAATAAGGTATTGAAAGAACTGCCCATGGCCTGCTCTAATACCAGACAGGTGATGAAGAAGCTGAATTTCAGTGAGTATTTAATATTCTTCCATGATCATAACTTTATATTTAAATTCAAATTTGTTTTAAAGATGTTACCAATGAGTGCGAGTATGCGGCTCTTACCCAGGTTTCCACAGGACCCTTGACTGCCTGGTTTGCCCTGAAGCTCTGCGAGCGTCTGAGGGACTGCGAGCAGCTTACTCTTCATTTAATTGGCGCCGAAATCGAATTTGAGGTGGATATCCTGCAAAAGTGGGAGCTTTTCCTGCTGCACCTAATGCCAGCAGTGAAAACCCTGAATGTGGTGTTTATAGGACCTGAACTCAATCCCAATAACATTTCCTTTGAGCAGCTGAAGAAAATCAAGTAAGACTTTAGAATTTGTATTTAAATTTAAACATTTAAGCTTTATTTTTTCTCTTCAAGATGTTGTCTCTCTTGCCGAAAGGCCAAAAGGACGGTTAATTATCACTTTGAGAATCGTTTGTATCATGATTACTGCAAGCAGTCGGAGTTTCTTCAACCAAATTTAAGTGAGTTTCTGTTTTTTAATTTATCTTTTTTGTATTATTCACTTAATCCTCTTTTAGTTTGCTTTTTCAACTCGGGTCTTTATCGATCCACTGGCTTTGGTTTTGAGGATACCTGGCCAGATACGATTCAGGCTTCTCTAAACCTCAAATGCCCTGTGGTGGTCACTTCCTATACGAAATATGAGGCTCCCTTGGATCTGGTGCATTTTGTTAATCAATCGAATCGGCATATTAACGTTGTCCTGCCACCCACAACAAATCCATTTTCTTCGGAAAAGCCAGAACGCAATTTTATATCGGACAACGAAGCGCCATTTATGTTCAAGAACTTTTATTGTTTTGTTGTTGAGTGAGTTCTTGAAAAAGACACATTATTTTTTGATTGAGAAATAATAAAGAGGACTTAATATTCAATAAAAATATTTCATAAAATGATTTTTAATTTAAATTTAAAAATAACGCCTTTTTGCATGTTCAGCGGCGCCCCTAGTTTCATGTGCCAGTGTTAGCCAACTTCTGATAATTTATTTCCATCCTTAATTTTTTTGGTATTTTTTTTTAGTATTTCCCCAAAACCAGTTGGCATTTCTCACCTGACCAGTTGCGGTCACACTGATTCGGTTTGACTCTTGGCGGCGTAGTTTTGTTTATTTTATTTATTGCGTGTTCTGTAAAGTTTTGTAAGCCTTTTTTTTAGTAGTGTGTTTACATCCATGAATTTCAACGATGGCGACTTCAAGGATCTGCGCTCCAAGCTGGACATTATGGGCTTCACGCAGACGCTGCCTGTGCTGGCCATTCCGCTCGTCCAGGCGATCTTTGGGGATTTGATCAAGACGACGGAATGTCTGCGGGACACCAAAAAGCAGGTTGCGTCGTTGCTGGAGGTTTGTATATACAAATCAGGGAGCGTGTCCCCATTAAACCTTGGTTGCTAAGCACTCCCTTTGTTGTGGTTCATGCAGGACAAGACCTGTTGGGAGCTGGGCGTTGAGCCCTACAAATGCGACAATGCCCGCCTGCTGGCCGAGTGCAACGAACTCCATTTGCAGTTTCTGCGGGACCGGGAGGACTACGAGCTGCGCCTGTGCGGTAAGTCTCAATCGATTCCCGATTATTTTTATACCTAAACTCTGCCTTAGAATCCCAGCGCAAGATACGGAACCTGGAGACGGACAGGGAGCACTTGCAGAGCCACAATGTGGGGCTTCAACATCAACTGGATGCCTTGCTCTCCAAGCAAATGGTTTCATCAACCGCAGCCAAGAGAACGCAGATAGGAGTTAATCGTCAAGGTGGGTAAAAAAGTCAGGAAAAATCCTTTTCCTTTCTTCTAAAATGAAATTCCCTTCTCCCTTTCCTTTTAGCCAAAAAACCATTTATAACCACCGTTCGTTCTGGCAATGTTTTGCCCTCTGTTCTGGGCAGCAGCTCCTCCGCTGCTTTGAAATGCACCAAATGCAATGCTGGTGTCTTCCAAAAGACCACCACCACTGGCAAGGATGGTGGAGTGACAGTCACCCAGACCAGCGGCCAAGAGGAGCTGGACAAGATCCAAAACGATCTCATTTCCGCCGGCGAGCAACTGGAGTTTTACAAGCGCAAAGTGGAGGCCAGGAATCGGGAAATACGTCGCCTGAATGATATGTTAACCGGTGGACGACCTCCAGCAGCTTTGGCCAAGGATTGCTGTTACAAGGATGTGGGTGCTCTTTCCCAAGATATCGACCTGCTGCAGCGGGAGAAGAGCGAACTGATGCTGCAGGTGCGCGATTTCCAGGACAAAATGCACGATGCCATGCAAAAGGCATTGGGATCCGAGGAGGAAAAGCGCAAGCTGCAAACCCAACTGGAAGAACTCAAGGAGGCTGCCCTGCAGGTGGAGGAGCAGGCCAATACAGAGATAGAAGCCAGAGAGCAGGAAATCAGGCAGTTGCAACAGGATTTGAAGCACCTGCAAAGGGGCAAGCATAACCGACTGGCTGGAGGTACCGCCTCCAACCAAGCAAGTGACAAGCATAATCTCAACGAGCGTCTGAATCTGCTGACACGCCGCGAGGAGGAACTGGAGGCCACCAATGAGAAGCACAAGAAAAAGATCAACAAAATGCAGGCCAAGATTCAGGAGCTGGAAAAGGAGCTAAAGGAATATAACCAACATAACCCAGTCATGCTGGATGAGGAGAAGATTCGCCTTGCATCGGAGCGTGATTTCTTCCAGAAGGAATACCTGCGCCTGATGAGCAAATCCGGTTCCGAGACGGAGATAGCCTTCTTGCATGCCCAAATCAAGTCCAAGGATGAAGAGCTCAAAGCTCTTCGATTTGAGCTCTTCCCCAACAGTTGCAAATTGCAGTTTTCGCCTCAAAAGAGTGTCCAGTACGAGACTCTGCCCCGAGTTACAGTTTCCTCCTCTTCCGAATCCACTCGTCCCTCCACAGCCAATACCAATCAAAGTGAATGCGTTCAGGCTGCCATTTGTAGGGCAGAGCGAGAGCGGGATTGTGCTAGAACCGAGCTGGAACGTGTGCGCTGCGAACGGGATGGCCTGAGGGAGAAGCAACTGTCCACTGTTCAGCTCCATGCCGAAGAGCTCAATGCTCTGCGCATGCGCAACGAAGAGCTAAACGATCGATTGAGGCAACTGGAGCGGGATAAAAGGGATCTGAACTCGGCACGCATTCCCGCTGAAACCAATCTGGCGCTGCTCAAGGAGGATCTGGTTCAGATGCGTCAACGGGTGACCTCCCTGCAAGCAGAGATTGAGCAGCTAAAGGAGGAGAACAGTCAAGTCAGGTGAATTATTTAAAGGTTATTTTCTGATTTTTAAATGCTTATGAAAATGTTTATTCTGTTAGCTTGCTTAATGAGCAAAATGATCGCATTATAACCGAGTTGCAGAGCAAGCTTTTGGTGGCCGAACGTCAGCGTCAGTCGGCGGATGTGCGAGCCAGCACCTTGGATTCCAGTCGGGAGTCCAATCGCAATGAGGTCACCCAGCTCCGGACTGATATTGGAGTTTTGCGGCAGACCTTTATATCACTAGAACATGAAAAGGATACACTTTTGGTGGGTATACAAGTAGGAGTAGTTCTTCTTTGTTAATGTTACTTTCAAGATCTCTTTTATCATAATATTGTATACATTTTTAATAATCTTTTCAGCATCAATTGGACAGCAAAACAGAAAGGACTTATAAGCTGGAATACGAGCTAAAGGATTGCCAGGAGAAACGCAATTCCCTCGAGCAAAATGTTAGGGAGCTAGAGGAACAAGTGCGGTGAGTAAAAGGGATTTAAAAATATATAATCTTTACAATATTTAAATTAGTAAGCCATTTAAATGATAAATACTTTGATTCTGTGGGTTTTTTATTAAAATTTATATTTTCAAAATTCCAAAACAAAGAAAATCCCCAGAAATTCTTATTTTATTATTATTTTATTTTGCCTTATCGGGAGCATTCCCTTTACTACACTTCATACATTTATTAGTCGATGTAATACATTCATGGCACAATCAATCTCTTCCTTACGGAACTCACGTTAACCGAATATCTCTAAAAACCACCTAGAAGAGAATTAACAAAATGGTTAAAATGGAATAACAAGTGATCTTTGGGTAGATCAAACAAAAATAACACATAAACACAGCATGCAACACAGAATTATCAGAAAAAAAAAAAGAGATTCTTTGAAGTAGTCAGGGGGAGAGGGAGGCATGCGTAGGATGACAGAGGGAGGAAGGATCCATCTCAATCAGAAGACACAGAATAGCTTGAAGATAACTTCCTAGAAGGCCCCACCAAAGTGCAGATCATTGAGAAACTTTGAGTTGAGTCGCTCGTTGGTTAAATACCTCGCCAGGCTGACACTCGGAGCGCTGCAGTTGCTCATGCCACGCTGATCCCCTGCTGCTGCCGTCTGATCCGAAGGCGTATAGCCCGGGCGGCAGACGCACTTGGCCCGACTAGCATGGGCCAAGATGCCCGTCTTTGTGCCATTTGCTGTCTGAGTTTTTAGTGGCTCCAGCCACTGACCAGCACCGCAGGGTCCACGACTATACAGCTTGTGGCACTGTCCATTGATCTCCACCATTCCCGGCGTGGACTCGCATATGTTCAGCTCTTTGTCCCCGTTCTCGCCGGAACACTGCTGATCTAGATTGGTGAGGACGCCGGAGCAACCACACATGCCATTGTAGGAGATGCCATCGATGGATGGCCGGGCAGTAAAGTCAAAGATGACCACCTGGTGCAGAGCACAGGGACCCTGAGATCCTATCCTGTAGCAAGAGTCTTCCGCTGGGAAATACAGACGATTCTTGCCACAAAAGTTGCGCACACAACTGGTGCCATTGACCAGGAACTCATTAGGGCCACAGGGACCTCTAGTATACAGGCGATAGCAGATGCCATCGCTCCAGGGCACATAGCCCTCTTTGCACTGGCATTGGCCACGTGGTAAAAGCTGGAGGGAAGAGCTGCCTCCAGCCTCCTCCTGAATAACCTCATCGGGTATGCGGAAGATGTGACCGGGTGGACAGGGACCAGGAGTGTCTGAAAGGGAGGAATGTAATATAAGGAGTACTATTTTAAGGAGTTTTTTCTTCAATCAATCAAATCCTACCCAGCTCGTAGCACATTTGCTGTGGAGCATGATAGTGCGGCAAATGTCGCTGACAATCACAGCGGCCGCCGGGCAAGAATATATGACCCGGCGTGGAGCAGGGTCCTTTGGTGTAGTGCTCGTAACAGGACTCCTCCGCTGGGTAATAGAACGTAGACAACTCGCCCTCATTCTCACAGCGACACTCGGCCAGTCCATCCTCGTTTCGGACGAGCAGTTTGCCTCGGCTACAGGGTCCCTTGGAGTGACGGCCATAGCACTTGTTGTCTCTAGGCCAGAACACCATATTCTCCGGGCAGTGCAGGGGTCGCTTGCAAGTGCCCCAACGATTGCCAGATCTGGAATATATATATACATTTCCAGAATTAAGAACTGATCTCTTTAGGGGTTTTTACCCACCTCTTGACCTGCTCCGGCATGGGCTGGAAGTACTCCTCCGGCTGGCAGGGTCCTCGCTCATACAACTTATAGCAGACATTCTGGTTCAAAGGACTTAGGGCTGTTCCCGGTGGACAACGGCACTCGGCAGCTGGTAGATCCTTTCTTTTCGCACTCACTGCCGTGGGACTTAGCTCCATGGTTTCCGGACAAGGATAGCCAAGAGTAAAGATCTTAAAGCACTTTTTTAGAGGAGTCCAATACAAAAGCTGCCAGCCACCGGCCATGCTGGCACAAGGATTCTTAGCGGGATCACTCCAGGGAGGAGGAACAATCCCACCAGCCACCTGATGCGGATGCTGGCCAGTGGTTAGTAGGAGGAGCAGGCAGGTAAGGATGGAGCTGCCCGCCTGCAGAGCAGCCCAGCAGATGAGCGCTTTCCGACGTCTCATTATGGAAGAGCTTAAAAAAAGCGAAAGTAAATCAATTAATTACAGGCTAATCCGCAGTGAAACTTGAAGAAATTAGTTAAATCAGATGGATAAATATATTATTAGTAATATATTATTAAATCATTAGAGGTTTATATACAAAATTAGCTTCTTAAAAAGCAGTTTTGATATTTCTGAAGGTCGATTGTTTCACTTCCATTTTGACAACTACAAATTAAACATAAAATTATATAAAATTAAGTGTCAATTAAGTGGAATTAAGTTCGTATTAGGGAAGTTCCCCCCATAATCATTTATTCATTCTCCTAAAAATAGTAATATTTTATGGCATTGGGGAGAAGGAAGCTCTGAGCTCTCAGCTCTCATTAAACCGGATGATGGATGACTTTTCCATTGTCGTTTAAAAATCAATTCGCCGCTGCAGCTTTAGGAGGGCCTAAAGCGGGTCCAATTCGAATTAGCCAACCCTTTTGGGGGGCAACTGATTATCATGTTGTGGTCACCGCAAAAAAACGGCCGAAAACCCGAAGAGCAAAACCGAAAAAAAAAAAAACTATAAACAGTCTGAAAACCAGTAAACGGTTCGCGCGCGGTTAACCATGACCCAAATACCCATTTATCTTGACTTCTTTTCGCCTCAGCCGCTCAGGCGCTGTCCAGAAATCTTCTGCTCCAGCTGCAGCCACAGCTACAACAACAAGCTCCAGCTACAACTCCCAGCTGTTGGTCATAATCGAGAGGCTTCTTATGTAAGCGGCAGAAACCGCAAATGACGAAACGCTCATGTGGCAGCAACGGCAACGGCACCAACCTGCCAGGCAGACAGCCAGCGAAGCGATTCCGCCGCCGGACACGAAAGGTGCCACACACTCTGGGTTGGCTTCCCCCTTTGCCAGACAGCTCCAGGAGCTTGGAGCTGCCGTTACCGGGGGTTGCGTGATTTGTGGCAACTGGTTTTTGGGGTTTGTGTTGCCGTTTTAATTCTGACTTTACTGGGATTCTTCGGTCCATTTGTTCGCACCTTTCGTCAGGTTTTTGGTAACACACAAAGTGGCTTTTGTTATAAAGTATTTACATGTTTTTTTAATAGTAGAAAGCGTTCTGATTTGGGTTTTCTTCTAAAGATTATTTATCTTTGAAAATTTTGTTGGATTTTTTTGTCAAGAATTTTGTGGAATTTTTTGTTAGAAATTGTATTATTATAATCAACATTTTTGTTGGTTCTTATTAAAAAATAATATTGATTTTATTAAGATATTTCTTTATTCAAATATGTTTTCTTTATAATAATAAAAACACTTTTTTCATCGTGTAAAAGTCTATAATAAAGCATTTCCCTCAAAGGGAAGGTTTTGTTTAGGTTCTTATATCAAACACTTATTTTTCAGCATTGAGATTTGATTTGATTAATGCCTTTACTATATTTAGCTTTTTTGATAAATATATAATTTAATTAAAACCACAAAAAAGATATAAAGATGAATTTTTCATGTTTTTATATTTTTTTTTTGTAATACATTTGTTTTATGATAGTTTTATTTGTTTTTAACACCTTTCGTAAGCTTTTTGTTAAAACCTAAAACTGGATTTAACTCACTGCTAGTCTGTTTTATTTAAATTTTAAATCAATTAATCCATAGACATGGACAGACAGCTGTTGTAAGCCACAAAAAGCATTCGTTTTTATTTGTACTATTCCAGTTTTTAGCTTCGTTTACCTTTTATAAAAACTTGGTATTTAATGAGATATATGGTAATTTATTTTTATATATTTTTTTTTTAAATCAGCAACCTTGATTTATTTTGTGATATATTTTATAACATTTATTTTAGTTATTTGTGATACTATTTATACTCTTTATTTGTTTCAATAAATCTTTGTTTCTTTACAGTTATTTTTAATTGTTTTAAACTTTATATTTTGCAATTTTTTAAACTCCCATTTAATTTGCACTTTTAACCTTATAAACTTGATTAACGGTCTATAATTGCCACTTGCAGATTTAATGTCTTAAAAGTTGTTTAAATGTTGGGAAAGATTTTTTGGTAGGCTTACACCTTAAGCCTGATACTTATCGTAGAAACAAGCCCACTAATCCCATTTATTTAACTAATTAATCCAATTAATTTATGACCCAAACGCAGTGAACACAAATCAGATTGAAGGCGAGCATTTTTCGCTTAATTCTTTGTATTTATTCTGGGTTATTTTTTCTTGGGATTATCCCATTCCGCCCAGTCATTTATTTCGCACCTTTTGCAACTTCTTGGTAATAACCACAAAAAATAAAACTGGTTAGCGAGGCGGTTGAGGAGGAGGGCTCAATTTGTTTTGATTTGGCTTCGGCGGCAATCACACACAATAAACATAAAAAAGAAACAGAAACCGAAACTAAACTCCAGTTCGCGTTAAATTGAGACGATTTCCTAGGGCAGAACCGTCGCGACGACTGACTTGGTCAAGTAAATGAACCGATCGCGAGCGAGCCAGGCGGCGTCCGTCCGTTCGCCTGAACAGGTAACAAGCATCTGAGCCAACTCCTCAACGGTTGGTCTCTGCCCGCTCTTAGACTCCGCTCTTCCACACACACACACACACAGAGGCAGGCAAGAAAAGGTGAAGCCAAGTCAAGCCGGGCTCATACAAATGTGTTAACCACTTTGGCCAAAAAGGTAACAAACGAAATGTCAGTGATTGTGTCTCTGTCTGTCTGCCTCTTAGCCTCTCTTAGCCATCCATCCAACCATCCGATCCGATCTGATCCGATCCGAGTTCTGCGTCTGCCTCAGCAGCAGTGACGACGGGTATTTGAACTTTGTTTAGCCTTAATGACTGACTGACGGACAACGATACGTTGGCTGCGATGGATACTCTCGGACAACGACGGCGACTTTGACTGCCTCTGTTGACTGTTGTGTGTTCTTGAGCTTCGGGCCAAGTGCGGATGTGTGTGGCTACGTGCCTGGCATCTGTAGTTAATGCTAGACACTCTAGACCCCCATTGTGCACTGACAGACAAAATCTTGGCTCATAATTGATTTAATCTTGGCTCATAATTAAAATTTACTGTCTTAAGTTAAATGGTTTGTAGTTATATTTTTAATTAAAATCATTATTTAATTTAATAAAAATAAGACACGATTACTAGTGAGTGTTAGATAACACTTCTGCGTCTTGAGATCAAAATGGCTTTGCTAAAAATAAAATCAGAGATCTGTCTTACTTTATAAAGGGGCTTCTGCAGCATAGGCAAACTTACCACTTGCTGTGGCACTAGAATGCCCAAGGTACTGATGAGGAAGACGGTGCTTTTATCTGAAAGATTTGTATGTCCTAATCCGTCATTGCGTTCCAAGCTTCTGAATAAAATTATAATAGATATTACTTTAAAAATCGCTTTTATTTCCTAACAGTGTCTTATTTCAAGAGCACTTTCTTTATGGAATAAAATTCTTTTTCCCCCAGTGTCGGCTTCTCTGCGGACACTGAGTGACCCCCTCTCTTTTTATGGCCAACTCGGAAGAGGGTCAGGTTTTGTGGCCTACGCGCTGGCATTGATTCCAATTGATTTCCTCACCATATATCCACTATTTATTCTCTCTGCTCTTCCGTTCCCCCCCAGCAAGCTGACCAGCAGGAACCGGCAGCGAGACTCAGAACTGACGGAGACCTCCACGGAAAGTAAAACGCTGCGCCAGCAGATTGTGGCACTCAAAGCCAGCCGCGATGAGGCAATCGCGGAGAATGGGTGAGCGAAAAAAATAAGTCATTAGCGCGGCGAAGAGGAGCAGCGAGAACTGCTTCCGCGCTGAGGCAACGCTTATGCCTGCCACTTTGATCATTAGCAGAGTTTTTATAATAATCTTGCAATGTTTGTTGCCACAGCCGGCTGATGGACAAGCTGAGCGACGCCCAGGTGGAGGCCAGGACGTTGCACAAGAAGCTGAAGGATTCAGAGCAGCAGGTGGCCAACATGAAGCAGCAGCTACACAAATACGTCCAGGAGGTGAAAAAGGCCGAGGATCTGCTTACCCAGAAGGTCAGTCTTAGCCCTAAAACTAGATACATAAGTGCATGAGTTCAAGTCGCTTATACAGGTGCCTTCTAAATTAAAGGAAAAGGAGCGCGACGAGCTGCTGGATCACTACCACTGCCTCAGTCAGGACCAAGTGGCCCTCGAGGGCAACAATCAGAGTCTGGAGTGCGAGGCAGCCGAGTTCCGGCGACAGATCTGCGACCTGGAGTGCGAGGTGCGCAGCCTGAAGGATCAACTGCAGTGCCGACAGTGTGCTCTTGACGAGATTGAGGTGCAGCTGGCCGCCGAACGACAAACGACGCGTTGCCTGCAGCGAGAGCTAGAAAATGCTCGCGATGATCTGCGTGTTCAAAAGGTTAATCTCGAGGCGCGCCAAGAGCTGTGCGACAAACTCGATGTGGAGAAGGACAAGCTCAATGCCGAGCTCAGCGAAGTCAACGAAATGCGTAAAAAGGTGAGCTTTCGCTCCGGTCCTGACCAGTATAAGTATCTGTATCCTAGTTAGAACTCATCTCCAGAGTAGTTTTCTTCGCTTTCTAACACAATTTTCTAACTAACTTTTTTGTGAGTGAGTAGCTTTTTGGTTTTAAAAGTAGGGATTTATTTGTAACTTAACACCTTAATCTTCTTGGCAGCTGGAAAGGCAGTGCGAAAAGCTGCGCGATGAACTGCAGCAGTCGAAGGCTGTCAAAAAGGTCACCACCGAAACCACTGACCAAATGATGGATCGCTTGCACAGTGACCAACAGCGTCAGGCTGATGCTGGAATAAGATCGAAAAATGAAATGGATCGTCTGCAGCGTCTTTACCAAGAGACTTTGGTGAGTACTGACCATCATTTTTTAATAATTATAATTTAATAATAATTATAATTTAATTTGTTATTTATTTATTCCCGAAAACAGCGTGAATTGCAAGAAGAACGCGAACGCTGTAGACAACAAGAGGACCTGGCCAATCAGTATGAAGAACAGGCCCGCGATTTGCGACGAAATCTCACCGAGGATCGCTTTACGCGGGCAAGGACGCGTGCTGTGAGTCCCAGGATTCCCTCAAAGACACTTTAAACTTATTAGATGTACTTATGTTTTTATATTTTAACTCAAATTTAACGTTTGGCTGGACAGACTGTCGAAATATTGTACAAAACAAATATATAAATATTTTTAAAAACTCAAACAATTGTTGAAACTCCGGACTTCTTTGGACTTTTGGACTTACTATCTATAGTAGGGACTTTTGCTTTGGCACAAGGCTGCCAGCTGGCGATAGGTCTCGTACATACAGGGACAGGCATTGAAGGAAGGCTTCTCTTCGTCCCTTGGGGATAGTGTTTCGAGGCAGCTATCGTAGGCATCCTCTTCCTCCTCTTCCCAGCTGGACTCTAGGCAGGTGTGCTCAGCCGAACTGCTGGAACCTGTTTATTTAAATTACCTATTATTTAATATTTTTATTATTAAGTGAAAAAAAAACTTACGTGGAGTATAATTATCATTTGATAAAATCGAATCAGGCTGGCGATACTTCAGTGCCTGCTCCCAATCAATATGGTTGCGGCACTGTTCCTCCACATGGCTACGCTTGTTTAGGACACCATCCTCATCCTTGAAGGTCACTGTGCGTGTTCGCTTATCGCAGACAGTGGCATAGCTCTTGTTTCGTGAGGAAGACATGGCCGATAGTAAATGATGATGCTTGCTAGAAGCCATGGATCGCGCCGTTTCGTAGCCATCGCATTCACATCCCGACTGAATGTCATCTGAACGATTTGAATAATCCTTTTTTCTATTTAAAAACTTTGTATCCTCTTCTTCCTCTTCATCCTGATTTTGAGCTTGAGAATAATGCGTTTTTCTATTTAAAAACGATGAGTATTCATTGGCATCCTCTTGGTCTTGATTTTGAACCTCTGAATATTCATTTTTTCTCTTTAAAAACTTGGAAAATTCATTCTCATCATCTTGGTCCTGATTTCGAGCCTCTGAAAGGAACTGCCTAAAAGAAGAAACTTCTCGTTTTCTATGGAAAGTTTTTTCGGTATTCTCTTCGTCATTTATTTCAAAATCTTGAGAATTCTTAAACCCTTTAGACAAGGGTTTTCTGAAGCTTTCTTGCGTGGAAGTTCCTCCGCTTAACATACTGGAAGCATCCTTGAGTTCCTTGTTTTCAGTGGAATTTTTTAGTTCTTTTTTTAGCCGAGATTCAAGGAGGTTCATATCAAACTTCTGGTCTTCATTAGAAACTTGAAGATCCTTGGTTTGGTAATGGCTATTATTAGCTATGGTTTCAGTAGAAACCGAAGTTGGGCTTTCCCCCCCAAATGAAATTGGACTTGGATTACTTCGCCGATGGGAATGTGTAGTTGGGCTTGCCTGGTTTCGAGACAATCCTTCTACAAGCGAAAAAGAACTTGGTTTACTTTGACGATGGGTATCTACAGTTGGGCTTTCCTGGTTTCGAGATAATCCTTCAACATGCGAAAAAGGATGTGGGTTACTTTGCCGATGGGAATCTGTACTTGGGCTTTGCGGCTTTCGAGATGATTCTGCTTTACTACTCAAGTTACTGTGACGACCATTAAATACTTGGTTGGAATTCTGAGAGCTGCGTGTGGGATATGTCAGCGAGGATCGCTCAGGCCTGCGCTGAGTCTCTGTCGTGGTGTTTGCCTGCCTCGTTGGAGGAGAAACGATTTGGTGCTTGACAGGAAGGGATGCATAACTGACGCTATCTGTTTCTAAATCCCTAGGCAAGGAAGATGGGTCTTGATATATATTCTTTGCCACAACAGTCTCCTTGGTGGACTTTGCCCTTTCTTGTCTCAACCCTTGGTGCTTTGAATCCTCAACGATTTCTTTGGTGATCTTTGACCGCTCTTGTCTTAACCCTTGGTTCTTCGAAACTTTAGGCGCCACAACCCTCTCTTTTATCCTTTCTTGTCTCAACCCTTTGCGATCTTTATCCGGACAGTTGGTATATTGTATGTCTGCTCCAGTAGCGCCACTCCCACTGGGATAATGGAATCGGGTTTCTTTGCAGTTGGTAGGAGGAGGAGTAGGAGCAGGAGTAGGAGTAGGCGAAGGAGTAGGAGTAGGAGTAGGAGTAGGAGTAGGCGAAGGAGAAGGAGAAGGAGAATCGCTTACTGGATCGGTTGTGTTGCTATCCAAAGGAGTGGAGCCCCACTCGTCGAAGCAGGATTCATAGGTGAATGGAGCTGGAAACATTTCTATAGAACATCCTGGGTCATGGTATCCCCTCCGTTCATGATTACACTGATCCAATATTGGAGTTTTAACTTTCTGGCTATCCCTACATACTGAGACTCTTTGCCCTTCCCATGAGTTGATCTGATTTTCAGGACATTCTCTTCGATCTGTTGGTTTAACATTTTCCTTTCGCAGTTTTGTGTATGTGGGAATAGGCTTTACACCTTCTCGGAGATCTTCCTTGGAATTTTCTTGGTAATACAATCTCAAATATTCCTGGTACATACGTTCATCTTCCTTGCGAGATTGACTTTTTGGAGGAACTACTTCCGTTTCTTGCTTTAAATTTTCTGGATACTGAAACTCGTTTTTCCACGGAATCTCTGGACTGGGTACCTTTCCCTGCTTTATATTTTCCCGACTCTCCACTATACGTAGACTTCCCTGATCCCTACTTTTTTTCTCCTGACTTTCCACCTTCGGCAACTTCTCCTGATTTCGCATTTTGTTCTTTTGCCGGTTGTTTTCATTCGTTAATATTTTTCCACTCCTAATTGGACTTTTCCTTTTCTCCCTTGGACTCTCAAGGAAAGACGACGGCGACACCGTCAGCTTAGAACTTCTCTGTTGGCCGACCGTCCTACGATCCGGTGATACACTGACGCACCTATTACCGCAAATTTCCTGGGTATTAAGATCAGTGACCCGCCTCCGTGCGGTGCAGTAAGGTATACCATGCTCAATACCCCGGTTGAAGGCGATATTATAGCAGCAATCTGGTGCTCCATAGCTTGTGGGGTAATGGCAACAACAGTTACAGCAGCCACCACTCAGTCTGGCTGTGAGTTCTTTGCACCTAAGTTCACTTTGCCTGGGTTCCTCCTTGGGTTTGGGGTTTTCTGTTTTCAGATCTTTGGGAGGGGGTTTTCCGGGCTTAAGTTCTTTTTGAATGGAACTATTTGCTGGGGGTTTTCCGGGCTTAAGTGGAGGTTCTTTGGACGGAAGATCTTTTAGGGGAATTCTCTTTGGCAGTGGTTTTTGTGGAGTTAATTCTTTAGGCGGAAGTCCTTTTGGAGCGATTCTTTTTGGCGGAAGATCTTTTGGCAAAATTACCTTTATAGGTGGTTTTCTCGGATTGAGCTCTTTTAGAGGAAGTCCCTTTGACACGAATACCCTTGGCATGGGTTTTCTTCCAATGAGTTCTTTAGCTGGAAGTTGCCTTGGCTGAGGTTTTTTTGGCGGAAGTTCTTTAAGCGGAAGTTGCCTTGGCGGAAGTTCCTTTGGCGGAAGTTCTTTAGGTGGAAGTTTCCTTGGCGGAAGCTCCTTTGGCGGAAGTTTCCTTTGATAAAGTTCCTTCGACTTGATCTCTTTGGGAAATTCTTTAAGCGAAACCCCCTTTGGCGGTGGTTTTATTGGCGTGACGTCTATCCGCTTGACTTCTTGGGACGCGGGCTTCGGAAAACCATCTTTTGACGAAGGCCTTATTTCAACAGTTCGACAATGTGCCCTACATACTTTACCCGGACATGCACACCGTCCACCTCCACCCTGCTGTCTGACTATTGGCCGATTGGCTTTAAACCTCTCGGCCCAGGTCATTCGTCTTTCTTCCTTCCTTTTTTTAAAACTGTTATTAACTTCCTTCAAGCGATCTATTTCATGGTTAATCTGATGATTCAGGCTCTCCACCCGCTCCCGTGTGCGATGGATCTTCTCGATTTCATCCGACGAGGAGGTAGTACGGGCTGCAATCACAGAAGGATTTCGGTAGACCCTGCGGCCTTGTAGGTAAATCCTTTCGCTCGTCTGAATAGAAAAGCGTTCCTGCCGCTCCAGGACAATGCTGCCACCTGCGGGAGTAGTTTCATTTTTATATTTATTTTTTTTATTTATTCTCTACCTAAGATGGGTCGATTCTTGCTCTCCATAGAGTTTTCTTCGCCTGATTTGGAATCGGTGAGCTCGTAAAAAATATATACGCATCAAGAGCTTTCGATGTTTCCATATAGGGAGACGTTGAGTGTTTGCTTTCACTTTGATTAATTTTGACCAACAACTTGGATTGCTAATTTGGAAATATTTAAAAATACATAGTTCTTTTTATTAACCTTACTTATATTCCCACAAAGTAAACAAAACTGGGTTTGAAACAGTTGCTGCTTAGATTATATATTTTACTCGCATTAAAGAATATTACAATCATTTTTTGTTTTTTGTTAAATTGACATTGCTTAATGCCAGGGATTTTGGTACGCGTGTAGACTCGAACCCGAGTCGTGTGTATTGCAAACAGAAAAGAAATACTAAACATAAATTTTTAACAATTTGTAATTTTTACTACAATAGAAACTACGTATAAGAACTGCTTTGGGCAATGCCATTTCAGAGCGAACACAAATACTATTATAGGCCAAGGACAAGGCCAAGGACATGGGATGAGAGCTTATGGCGTTACTCATCTTGCTATTATTAGGTCTTTGAAAGCAGGGGGACTACGATTGGAATTGCATAGCACTGGGCCTTGGTGGGGGCTTCCTAATCTCTAATCTATCCATACCTTTTATGGCTCTGAACCGCTGGCACTACTAAACTGGCTGCTAGAGAGCGGAGTGCTGACATCGCGACTCTCACCGTTGAGCAAATAAACCGGAACACGGCTGGTCACCAGCTCGAGGTTATGCGACGGCGATAAGAGGGCTCCAGTATCCTCCCCATCCTCCGGCTCGAGCATAGGAGCTGCAATAATCTCCAGTTCGTTGCCAACCTCGGGCACTAACTCCTGATCAAACTCGTATGCAGAAGGATCTGTTGTTGTTTTTGTTTGTTCGGGAACGGGAACGGGGTCGGGGACCGGCACTGGGTCCGGTTCTACTTCCGGTTCTTCATCTGGCGCTGGCTCAGGGTCTACAGAGGCTATAAAACCAACTTCGGTTACATCTTTCAATCCTGATTCCATAGCTGGACATGAAGTTTGCAGGTAGCTTTTCTTCAATTTATTCTTGATGTGCGTCCAGGCAGTTCTCTTTGTTTTCCTTCGCCGCCTTCGCTTTGGCTTTTTCTCCAGCTGCGGCTTATCTTCTTCGGTTGGGGATTGTGTCTCGCCATTCGCCTGATGAAGATCCTCTTGATGCTTCTGCAGCTGTTTTTCCAGCTCCTCGAGCAAATGCTGCAGCAGTTTTTCCTCCTCTGCCGCCGGATGTGACACTGGAGCAGGCTCCAGCTCCTGCTGATTGTCCTCGTGCAGCTGTTGCTGTCGCTCCTTCTCATTTTCCGTCAGAGGATCCTGATTTTCCACAGGCTGTAGGTCATCCATTTGCTGTTGCTCAGCCAGATCATGTTGCTTCTTGGGTTCCTCCTGTTGGTTTTTCTGTGAAGGCTCTTCTTGGGGTGGCTGCCTTTGGTCATTGGGAACATCCGACGACTCGTGACCCTTGAGATTTATACGTTTCAGTCTTACAATGGGATACCTGTCCTTTGCCTTCGCGGATTCCTTGGCCCTGGGCGTTGGCTGTATAACCTTCAGTGCCTTTTCTTCCCTCAGCAACTTCCGCTGTTGCTTTTTGGACTGCTTCCGCTCCTCCTTCATCACATGATTGTCGATTCGCGTCATCTTCTCTTGCTTTATCATCAGCCGACGTTCTCGAATCTTCTCGCGCTGCTGGCTAAGCAGCTCATTGTATAACCTTACTTCGGCATCCGTTGGCCACTTGGATTTCTGGTGTCGGCTGGTGGTGGTTACGCTTTGAACATGGCAAGGACTACTGGAACTGTGCGTTGAGGCTGGCGGTGTGGGCAAGCCAACCTTCTTGTTATGGCTAGATGTGACCGGTTGTATCCGGGTGGGTGTACCACTAGAGGCGTTGCTGTTGGTGGGGGTTAAATGGTTATCGCAAATAGTTTGTTGGTTCTTGGCTTCCAGCTTGGCGAACATTCTCTCGCTGGCCTGAAAGTGCTCTGTAAATGTATAACTCTATTAGTAAGTTTTTGAGAGGGATCAGTGGAGATCCTCTTACCATTTCGCGCCTTCCGACGTATCAACTCTAGGTGTTCTGCCTTGGATGTTCTCCTCTGACGCTTGATCGAGGACTTCTTTGTTGCGGCGGCTAGTGCTGGCGAAGACGAACCCTTTGGGGCAGTGGCACCCAAATGCTGGGCACTAAAGGTAACCTGTTTCTTCAGAAGCGACGTCTCGCTGGTGTTGCTGCTGCAGTTTTGACTAGAAGATTGACGGCAGTGATACAGCGGTGTCCGCTGACCGCTGTCATCATCATTGTTGCTGCTGCTTCTGCTCCTACTCGGGAAGAGGCATCTGTACGGGTCGAGATCCTGCTGCTCCGGCTGCTCCTCCGCCAACGTTTGTACACTTTGATCGACCAGATGCGGCGCTGTGGTGGACACCAAGTGTAGGCTATCCCTGCGGCAACTATAGCTATTAACTATGCGCGGTATTGTATAGGTGGCAGTAGGCGGTATCGGGGCTACTGTCCGCTCATAGGTGCGCAGGTTGCTGGGATATATGCGAGTGACATTGACGGAGTCATCCTGATTCCCAGCATCGTTTGAGTTTGAGTTGGAGTTGGAGATAATACCATCTACGCTTGCGGGCACATTAAAGTTTACAGAGAACATTTCCATCTCGTCGTCGGAATCTCGCAGATCCACTATCTCCACAGAGCTATCGATGCCGCTAAAGAGAGCATTAGCCCGCTTGCAGGGCTCCAAGTGGCGGGCATTCCGGCAAAGGTTTTGCAGAAAAGCAGGCGGATTATGCTGCGTCACAGGGGGTGCTGCTCCCATGACGGTACTCCACATTGGGCAACTATCCTCATCATCTGAACTGAGCACCTGTGGAGTGAGTTTTTACGAAAAAGATTTGATTAAAATGGTGATAATTCCGGGTCAAGGGAATCTATTAGGGTATATGGGACTCAGCTGAGGTTTTAGTCATTTTTGGGACAATGGAATAGAGCTGGCCAGTGTCTTCTTGCGCGACTAACTGCGCCGACAGAAGCTTTGGCTCTAGAGCGCTTATACCAATCAGACCTTTTACTAAGACATCATAGTTAATAATTGATGAAAATATTTTTTCCTTGCTAAAACAAACCCTTCAGCTTCACTTACCACTTCGTTGGCTTGCGGCGGTCGGTTATCCATTCTGCTGGCAATGTGAAGGCTGGTGCAGCTGTTCTGCCTCAAATAATTTAAAATGGCGCGCGTGGCCGTTGTCTGGACGGTTATCTTAGGCAGGTAGGCGGCATACATACTCCTCGTGGTCAAAGATTCCGATGGTCTCATAAACTTATCGGCAAACGTCACAATGCGTTCTTTAAGGGACTCGTCCGGCTCCAGGCGGTACCAGTAGTAGAAAATGAGTATATATTCGATGTACAGCTTGTCGGGCAACTCGGCTTGGAGCATAATACTGGGCATGGACCAGTGGGGAAAGAGCCGGCTTTAGCAGAAAGATATAAATCTATTATTTATACTTATATTTATTATATATATACATACCTGTATAGTACAGACAAAATACTGGCTCTATTGAAGAGTTTAGGTGCCGCCAGAAGAGTGCGCAGCACATGCTCCTTGTGGACGCCAGGACCACCCTCTCCATGCTCCACATACAGCTTGAGGCAGGTATTAATACGATTAATTATGCACTTGTCAGCCTCGACCGATGCCTGGGCGGCGCACAACTCGCAGGATATGTAGTAGCCAACAATCTGGCAAATGCGTTGCCAGTAGTTCTCGTCCAGCTGTAGAGCCCGGCCCTGCATCATGCTGTGCACGATGTCCGTGAGTCCAATTATGATGCGCGCCAGCTGCCTACACTGGGGCGGTGAATACTGCGCCCGCTCAAACTCCTCCCGAATGGCACTGGAAAGATGTTTATGGTGAGTATCAGATGCAGCGGTGTTAGTCAGCGGGACTTACCCCTCGAACTGCGCCAGCAGGCGGGCCATGCGCTTGTCAAAGCCATCATCATCGTTCAGGGCCGCAATTGCCTCGCGTATCTTGCGCCGCGTCTCAACCAGATGACCAAACTCCGCCGGCTCCGCGTCCTTGGGTTCATTGTTGTCCATCTGTTGTAGACCTGTATCCGGTTCCGTCGATATGGACTCACTATCGTCTGCATTGGCCTCGATGCTGACCTTGTCGAAATCGTCCTCAGCAGCGCTGCCGCTGTTCCGCCGCCTGTTCCTCCTCCTCCCGGAAGCCTGTTGTGGCTCGCAAAGGCAACTCATGCCGCTGAAAAGTGCGAAGCGAAATGATAAATGCAAATGCTCGCATGCAAAGATTCGCGATGAAAGAAACTTGTTATTCCAGTGAAAGTCAGCCCCCCTCCCGACCCTTTACGCGCAAAATTAAAAAAAAAAAAAAAAAAAAAAAAAGGCCAAAAGAAAACATACACATGCATGTATGGGATGGTATGTATGTACATGTATGCGCACGTACCTGTGTAAATGTTCGTTTTGGAGGCTTTACGCAGGAAATTTCACAAGTCCTTCACAAGACGCACTGCAGCACATTGGATTGCGCGGAAACATATTAACTTTTGCAATTTTAATATGCGGCGCACTGTTTACATATACTTTTTATACATCGAGCAGGAGCAGCCAGAACCGATTAAAGAGCTTCCGTCAGATGATGGGTTTATACCACGCGCATCTGCGGTATATCGCGTTTATCGCACATCGTGAAATGCCGCCCTCACGCTTCATATTAAATTGTTTTGTAATTTTAGCTGAAGGCACCGGCCAAATAGTTATCCGTTTGTTTTTTGTGTGTAGCTGATCTGTATGCCTCGTGGCTCAGTTAGTTTAAACTAAATTAAATCAACAGCTCAAGTCAATAAATCCGAATGCGTGATTAAGGACAACGTGGGAACGAAACAGGCGCGAAGCCGTCGCGTTTCGTCAGTGTTGGAAAGAGAAGTCCTGCCGCCGTTAATGCGTTTATGCGGTTCTATTAAAATAAAATGCATAAAAGAGACTAGAAAGAAATTAAAAAAAAAAAAAAAAAATGATATTTTAATTTTTTTTTAATATTTTTATTCTTGTTTATTTAGTTTTGATGTTCAGATGTATTATTTAATTTTAAAAATGTCATTCAAATTTTTTTTATTTTAATTAATCATCATATCAAATATTGGCGTTTAAAATAAGTGTCTCACAGTGAAGAACAATATAAGCACTTGTCTCCGCCTTTAATTTATATACTAGTTCCTAGTTAATTATATACTAAATTCCCGTGAAATGTGAAATCACGAATAACGAAATCACAGAGTTATTTGTTCCTCAATTGAACTGCACGAACAAGGTAATACGATACCACTTCAACTTGTTCAACACTGTACAAGCTGCCTAGACGGGATACCTATCGATATATGTTTGGAAACTATCGAGTTGCACAAGATGTTAATTATTTATCTCTTTTGTGTATTAAAAATAGTTGCATACACTAAAAAATGCTTTATAAACTTGTATATACCAATTTTTTTTTAACAAACAATAATGGCCGCCAATATAATTGTTATCAGACTATCGCGATAGCCCTCTAGTGATGTTTTTACACAACGTAAAATTGCGTGTAAAGCTGTATAATTTTGAAAATGACAGCTTAAAATTTAAGATTTAATTTTTTTTTAATTACTTATCATTACTTAATTACTGTGTCCAACTGTCCCTTTCCTTTGCTTCCACAATAAAGACAGACAGTATTTTAAAAAAGTTTGAAAATTAATTTTAAAAAATTAAGATTAAAAATTGTTTTTTTATTTCCTCTACATTCAGAGAATTTCTCATTAACAAAAAAAAAGTAGATTACGAAGGCCATTACTTAATTACTTTGCTCAGAGCACCCCACAATAAAGACAGTTTCTTGTTTTAATGTTGTTTACCAACTTTATTTGTTACGTTCTTAATCAGTTCTTTCAATGATTCTAAAAATTCCAAAATAGAAAACTTAAAGAATTACATATTAAAATTTATCGCTCTTCTTCATTAAAACTGAATTGTTGTTAAGTTTCACGCAAATCGACGGACGTAACATCGCGCAGAGAGCGTTAAATAAAATCTGGAGTTGCAAATACATACAACAAACAGAAATTAGTAAGTATTGCGAATTAAAAACCGTGGGCGGGAAAAATGCTTTGATGGCGCCGCAGCCGGAACGTCGCCCCCCTCCCAGCTGACCCCATCGCCCCAATGACTGACAAAAACTCAGCCGGGGGATGGGGAAACTCTGGGCGGGGGCGACAGCAGGCGAGCAGACGACGCCGGAGAAGACGTTGTTAGGAATAAACTACAGAATGTACGTTGCTAGTTGTGGCATTTTTGTTGTTTGTTGCACGGATGTTGCTGTTCATATTTGTTGGATTTTCTTCGTTTGTTTTGTGTGTTTGGGTGTGTATGTGTGTGTGTTGGATTTACAATTCGTCCTTCTTGGGCGCCTCCTCCTCCTCCTCGGTCTCCTCGACGGGCTCAGTATCAGCCACATCACCGTTGGCATCGAGGAACTTGACGAAATCGTCGAGGGTCCTGTCCAGATTGTAATCGATGACCTTGTTGTCATCCTTGCGGAAGTACTTGATCGTGGGGAAGGATGAGATCTTGATGCTCTCAAGCTCGTTGGCGGTTGAGTCCATCTTGGCAATGACGATGTCCTCGTTGTCCTTGTACTTCTCGGCCAGCTGGTCGTAGATGGGGGCCAGCTGCTTGCAGTGACCGCACCATGGGGCGTAGAACTCAACCAGCACGCTCTTGCTCTTGTCCAGGGCAACGCTCTCAAAGTTGCTGGAGACCAGCACCTTGACGGGGTTCTTATCCCAGTCCTCGGGCAGATCCTGGGACAACAGGTGCTGCTTCAGCTTGCCGTCGAGGAACTTCTTGAGGAAGGCTTCGATGGTCTCGGCGGACAGATCATTCGACTCGGGCTTGTACTTGGCCATGTCCTCCTCCAGCTTGATCAGACGGATGGTGGGCACCTCCTCCTTGTTCATGCCGAAGAACTCAAAGATGCGGGTATGGTCCTCCTCATCGGACGAGATGGTCACGAACAGGATGTCGTTGCGGTACTCCTTGGCGATCTCCCTCAGAGGATCCACGTACTTCTCGATGTGTCCGGCCTCCTTGGAGACGAAGAACAGCAGGTGCGACTTGATTGAGCCACCGAAGATCTTGGAAGCAGACTCGTGGTTGAAGTCAACGATCAGGGGCAGGGACTGCACCTGGGCGAACTTCTTCAGGCTCTCCTCGGTCAGCTCACCCTCGAACACGGACTTCTTGTCATCGAAGGGCTTGAACAGGATCACTCCGTTATCGCTGGCCTCGTACTTGGCAATCACGTCGGCATTGCTGCTCACACCAAAGACGAACGAGTCCAGGGCGTTGGCGGCCTTGGTGAAGGTCTTGGCCTCCTCCGACTCGGTATCCTTGAAGAATCCAATGATGGCGATCTCGTTGTCCTTAAGGAACTGCTCGGCATCAGCAACGTTGGTCAGATCCTTGGCCGGAGGTCCGGTCTTCTTGTTCACCCAGGCAATAATGTCAGCGGCCTGGCGACCACCGCTGTACTCCACGGGAGCACCGCTGCGGAAGAACTTCAGAGTGGGATAGCCGCGCACAGCATACTGCTCGGCGAGCTCACCCTCAACGGTGGCATCGACCTTGGCCAGCTTGATGGGCGAATCCTTCTCGGCCAGCTGTTGGGCAGCCTTGGCGTATTCGGGAGCCAGAGCCTTGCAGTGTCCGCACCATGGGGCATCTGGAAGAATTTAAGAGAGGAAATTGAAATTAGAATTGAGTCTGGAGATGAAAGGGAACTTTACTTAGTTCTAAAAATTTTAGGGAATTATTAAAGCTAACGATTTATATTTATTTATATCTACATATGTATTATTGTTTGCCACAAGCCTTGTGTGACCTACACGTGTATGTTATGCTCCTAAAAACTATTTATAGACAACATTCTTAAATGCTTCCCATTTAATTGTCAAGCTTGCTAAGCTGACAGTCAAGAACTTGATTTTAATTATCAATATTTCGCAGAATATTTTAATAACCTAATTTATTCCGAATTTTTTTTAAATGATTTCCCGGAACTTGACTTATTTGAAATTACCAATACTGCACAAGAAATGTTTTAAATTATATTCAAAGTTTTGGAAATGCAAATTGACTTCGTAAAACTACTTTTACTAGAATTAAACAGGTTTTATAAAAACTGGAAAATTAACATATGCTAATTAAAACACATTTGCTGAAATTTATTTACATATTTGCACTAGGTGAAAATGGGTTAATGGCAGTTTCTGAATTAATGTCTAATTGGGAAGAACTGATGCTTAACTTTTTCTGTTTTAATATTATTTAAAACAAATTATAAAGGAAACAAAAATGTTGGAAGATAAAATGAAATTACAAAGTCAGGGCGTATAATTAGAAATATCTTTAACCCATGTTTACAGTCTAAAGTCTTTAGCTTCCGTTTACTTGAACTGTTATTATTGTTTTAATTACAAATAATTGCCAAGTGCCATTAAATGGAATAAAGGTATGTATATAAAAGAACTGATTCATTCTAATAGATGTCAAAATATGTATATAAACCTCTTGTTTACAACTGCATAGAATATTTATTAAATCGCCAGCATTATTTATTTGTACCCCGCTAACCGACTGTGAAATTCTAAATTTAGACCAACAATTATCTGCGCTAGATTTGCCATGGATCTGGAGCAAGGCCCCCACTCTCAATATGGCAGGCTCTTGGCGTTATGCAAAATCCACGTGTCGCACCCACATTGTCCCAAGTGCAGCAGCAGCAGCAGAGGAGCTGGCTCCTTCGGAGCCACGACTGCAATCTGGCACGCATCCACGCACACGAATGAATACTTGGAATCGCCGGCAGATGACATAATGCCCCCAGAGCTTGACAACGTCTCCGTCTTCAGCTTATCGCCAGCTTCTGACGTGGCCCTGGCATTGGTTCCGCTTCTTGGGACTACAACTACGGGAGATAAGCATTGCGCTACGCCGCGGATGAGCAGGCAATTATCGACTTAGCTGACGTTGTCACCTCCGCGTACACGGTGAGGCAACACCAACGCCAGCGAAAAGTGCAAAAATTTAATTAAACAAATAAAAGAGAAACGCTGGCATAAACAAAGAGTCCCAAGGGCCGCCATACTTGTTGGTACCCAGAGATGGCAAGCATATCTGTTGATTTAAGGCTGAATGAAGCACGATATGGGGGGACTTTTTTTGTATCAATATTTTCTTCGATTATCTTTCAAGTGGGTTTTCACTTGTGAGATAAGAATGGGCTTCAGATTTTGATTTTGTGCTCATCGGGGGGAACAACAGTAAAATTCATTGAAGATTTCTAGCTACTGAATTTTTTTAGGCATAGTGAAAAATAACTTTGTTAAATTTTAAGTCTAATTATAACAAATATCCTATTAACAAAATATTTCTTCATTTTCAAAACGTGAGAGTTTTCCTTAAAAAAAATCTTTTTTTTTTATATTTTTTGGCTTATTTTTAAAAAATTCCTTTTAACAAAACTGCCTTTAATTATTCATATTTTAAAATCTTCAAAATAGATCATTTTTACTTAACTAAAATAAATAAATAAATTTCAAAAAAATAAAATTGCTCTCGAGATAATTAATTTTAAAAACTTAGCGATTTAAACGCCGAAGAAATCTGTTGCTCGTGAGCAGCACTGGCGGCGGCACCGTTAGGCACGCGCAGAGGAAAAGAGTTGAATGAACTTTCCACGCTGCCGCGCCGCCGTGGAAAAGGGACCGAAACCAGATTTGGAGTATTAGATCCGCCGAGTCAGAATCTGAATCCGACGAGAAATAGGAATCAGAATAGAAAGCAAATGGCAAATAAAAAGTGGTTTGCTTTGGCTAACCTAGATTCGTAAGAGAAAGAGGGAAGAAGAGTTGCCCGACGGCTTTTGTTCTTTTTGTTTCAACTAACATCGAGAGATTCATTCTCCCCGGGAGATTGGTGAAGCGGATGTGGCCACGCCCAGGGTTAGAGTTAGAACAAAAACTAGAATTACTGATAAAAGTGAAGCATATGGAGGCGGGAGCCGAGAATAAGAATATTAATGCTTACTGCGCACAAGTTTGTGTCTCCTTGGCATTTCGAATTTATAGCAGGTTTATGGCTGCGGCAATAACAACAACTACCACTGGAGCTACCTCTTTCTAATACACACGGCTCCCACAGGTGTGCAACAGAGACGGCACTTGCACGCCACACCAGAGAGCACGCTCTCCGCTCCCATCGATGCGAGAGGGAGATAAAAACGGTTAAACAAACGATAAATTTGACGAAAATCGTCCAAACAAATGTCCATATGTCTCACACGGAAAACAATTGTTTCAATTAGTGTTTGCTTATATCGCCACACACGGCGTACTTGCCCTGCTTTAGCCGGATTTTCCCCCGGAGCTTACGACTGCCACGCAGACAGATTTTCTCTGACGCCGCGAAAGACCACGTAGCCGCTAAACAAGCAGGCATGAATCAGCGAGAGCGAGCGAGAGGCAGAGAGCGGCCGGCGCTTCCTCAGATTGCAGATTTCGCCGAATTTCGGCAACTTTTGCAACTTGGTACTTACAGAACTCAACCAGCACGAATTCGTTGTCGGCAATCAACTGCTTGAAGTTGTCCACCGTCGCCACCAGCACTCCCTCCTCCACCTTGACCTCCTCGGAGGACGCGGCGGCCACGTAGGACGCCGCCACTAGCAGGGCACAGATCAGGAATTTCATCGCGGGTCTTCCAAGTAGCCGACTATGTGTCTGGAGCAGCAGAATCAAGAACTGGGATCGCACTGCGCTGAACTTGCCCGGTAACAAGTAAAAATCGAAATGAAATTTGTCGCTTGCCTGAATTGAACAACTTGAATCGAGATGCGAGCAGTGTGGCCACTAATCAATTCTGCCATAACAATATTTTTTGCCCAAATATCGAAATCGCGATATTTTTGTTTGATATTTTTTGATATTTTCCCCTTGGTCACTCTGAATTTCACAGCAATTAATTGTTAACAGAATTTTCTGTTAACGAGAACCTAACAGAATTTTGTCTATGGAATCGCAGTAACAGAATTTCTGTTAAAACAGAGCTCTCCTAGAGGTGGAAGAACATCGATGTTGGCATTGATGTTATCAAAACATCGATATTTTTCCTGAAAATGATATCGAAATCGTGATATTTTTGTTTGATATTTTTTTGTATTTTCCCCTTGGTCACTCTGAACTTCAAAGTAAAATGTCAAAACAAAGTTTTACATGCTTGGTCGAATTCTCGTGTAGAATGTAAAATGTTCGAGAGCGAACCCGAGATACCAAAATTGTGGGAGGATGGTTTTATTACCAGCCCGTGCGGTCACACTGTGGGTGTTCACCCAATTGGAAAAATACCGACTAACTATCGCGATGCTTTGCCGATATTTTTAGTAATTCTGTCAACGGATTCCACTTTTTGGATGATGACAAAATTAAATTAAATTAAAAAATTGGGATAAATAAAAGAAAATAAAGAAATGGAATTATAGAAAGACAATTTTCATATCCTTCAGAAAATACTCGGTTTTCCTAAAACTGAATTTGTAATTACTTTATTTTTATTATTAATAAAACCCATATGGCTAAAATAATATCATTAACCTCAAAAACAAACTGTTTAAATATATTAAAACAATGTTTAAACACTACACACACGTCGTCTTTTGTTTTCTTTAAAATATGTATTCAAAAGAGTACTTTTATTAAGTTTTAAAATCATTTCCCTTAACTTCAATACTGTAAAACACGGAAAATGGAGACAACGATAAAATGCACAGTCCTTTGTAATAATTAAAACCTGTAATTAAGAGCTGCATTCACAGGCGACCACCTGTTGAACGCATTGTTCGACTATTTTGAAAAGAATCTCTGAGGTTTTCTCGCTACTGAAAGGCCTGTCTATGGGCGGCACGTGAACGAACAGACTCCGCTTGGTGTCCATGTCCAGAGACTTTAGATAGATGTACCCACAGAGGAAATCCCCTACGTTTTTGGAGGCTTTTGTGGCGCTCAGTGTCTTTGGGTTATCATTATGGGGGTTGTCGGTGGGATTAGTGGGAGCCACACACTCGTCGCATGTTGCATTTACGGTCGCCACAATCTTATCCACATCAAGGCCACAGCGCAATACATTCGCGCGGCCATTACGCTGGAGTTCACAGCTGCCGTTGGGCAAATAATTGTCGGAGTTGTCCGGCCGTCTGAACTTGTGGTTATACGCCAATTTCTCCACATAAACGCACTTGGCGACGCCCGAAACGCCAACGTGTATAACCAGCTGTAGGGGGAGAAAATGATATCATCACGATGGCTATTTACGGTTCAATTGAGATGTGGGGTATTCTTACATATGGCTCGCGGCTCCATATCTCCGTCACAGCATCGTCCACGGCCGAGTACTCGACGGGAACCAGGCGCTTCTCCACGTCGTAGTCCACGCCATTGTAGCTTAAGATATCCGGCAGGAGCTTCACAGCCTCCCAGCTGGCGTTGATGGATTCGTGCCCCAGAAATGGTCCAAATCCGGAGACGACAATAAGCTTTCGATCTGAAGACATAACAAACCGCCCACGCAAATATTACGACTAAATTACTATAAGTTTGTTGATACACACAGAAGCTGAGTTGTATGAAACTTCTAAGCCAATCAAACGAATTTAAACGTTTTTTCTCATTTTTGGGGGTCGATTGTTGAGTAATCTGAAAGAGATGCACAAATTAACAAATTAACTAGTTTTTTAAAATCATTTTTATATGCTTTTTCTATAAAACATTTGAATTGTTTACTTTCCTACTTAGAATCGATAGCTGGCTATCGCTATCGCTGCCAAAACTATCGAATCCCAAATCACAATTTTTGCCCAGCTCAAATGTAATTTGTAACAACAACAAAGATATACACATACATTCCAAACCAAAATCCGTGCAGATGCGCCAACAACGCGCCATTGTCGAACGAGACTCCAAAAAGCAGCAGTATCGAACCGGAACCAATCTGAGGAATTAGGTGAGCATTTGTGGTTAATCTAATCTCGCGGTTGCCGCTTAGTTAGGGCGCTACGCTGGCAGCGACGCCGGCAGAGCCAACGCACACAGGTGAACTTTGCACATTAACTATTTATTAACCTCTCGAGCAGGGTGCGCCGGCGGAAGAACGGAAGCGGCGAAAGGAAGACAAGTGGCACGACGAGCAGTTGTCACTTTTCACACACGCACTCCACGTAAACCACCACCGTCAACCACAAACCACTGTCCAGTTGCCATCATGCTGTCGCGGCTACAGGACTTCTTGTCACGCCACCGGCGAAAGTTCATCGTGACCGGCGTGCTGGTGGGTGGTACCATCTTTGCGGCAAGGTACGCCCAGCGCCGCCTGGTGGAGTTCCAGGAAAAGCAGGCCCGCGAGTTCTTCGAGCGGACACGGCGAATGCATCATTTTGAGTCCACGGAGAAGACCTGCAACCAGGTGATACTCGGAATGGGCGAAGAGATGTGCCAGGCGGTGCTGAGGGAGTGCAGCACGGACGAGCTGCTCGAGCAGTTGCGCCAGAACCCAAAGAACAAGCTGGAGTTGTGGGAGGACATGAAGATCGTGTCGTTCACCCGGCTGGCCACCTACGTGTACGCCTCCTCCATGCTGGTGATCGCTCTGCGCGTGCAGCTGAACCTTCTAGGCGGCTACATCTACCGGGATATTATGACGGAGCAGAAACAGATCACGGACGAGCTGAAGCAGCAGTATCTCTCGCTCATCCGGCACTTTATCACGGAGTCGGGCATCCAGGATCTGGCGCGATACATACGCACTCAGGTGATTGCCGTCACAAAGTCCATGCCGCTGACCCAGCAGCTCTCGCTGACCGACATGGAGCAGCTGTTCTGGTCGCTTCAGATGTCCATTAATGCGGACACGCGACGGGATCCAAATTCGCGGATGAGCAAGTATCTGCTGCCCAGCCAAAACCCCAGCCACTCGCCGCTTCTGCAGCAGATGTACAACGAGACGCTGGACCTGCTGGAGAGCGAGGATGCCATCGGCGTGTGCTCGCACAACGTGAGCCGGGGCTTTGTGCTGGCCTGCGACGCCATTGCCGAGTCCATGGGCCAGACGCTCCAGCACCTGCCGCCGGGCGAGTTGGCCAAGCAGCAGGAGAGCCAACAGCCGCTGAAGTTTAACCAGCCAGGGAGCAGCACTAGCTCCCAGAACCAGGACAATCCCACGACGTCGACGGCAGCAGCGGCGGCGACGGCTGCGTCGGAGAACAACAACTTGCTGAACATCAATCGGGTGCTAATGGCACTGGCCAAGCTCATTCCGATCATCAGCGGCATCACCTCTCGGGGCTTTGACAGCACGGCCCGACCCCATAACCTGCCCACCCAGCTGCTCACCTTCTACGTTGTCGCGGAGAAGACAAAGACGCTGGGGGCCAACGTCTACGAGACCTTTAGCTCCGCTTAGGAGCAAGCGCTTGGATAATGCTCTATGGATTATGCATAGGCTAGGGACTAGGCTAAGACCATTTGGAACATTATAGTTATTGTGTACATGTATATTTTAAATATGAACCCCTCTGAAGCGTTGTTTGTCTGTCTGCTTGATCATTACTCCACATCCCGTACTAAGTCTAGCTCCTAAGAATATTTAAACGAAAGCGAATGTAAGGTATATTGTTTAAGCTGATATATAAATGGCGTCCAATTGAGGAGACCTTTTAAGACAGGGACAAAACCAGAAAAGTAACGAAGGCCTTTTAAAATAAATGGAGTGTGTAATTTGTGCATAAGAACTAAGAATTAAAAGCTGCTTTTTGGTGGTTATTTGGTATACAAAAAAAACTTAATGGAAACAAATTATTTGCAAGCGCCATACAGATCCAAACTAAAAGCTTATTTTCCATAAAGAATTTATGTTTATTTGACACTTTCAGACTTAAGACTTAATGTACCTACTTTAAAATGGATTGTATAATAAATGACATATACATTAAAGTTTTCTACTAATTTTTTTTTGTAAAGCATTAACAGTTTTAAACAATTACTACGAGTGGTTTAAGTGGAATTAAGATTCTATCTGAAGATTAAGATGGGAAGATTTCATCTGAATGTATGTACATGTGTATGAAGTGGAATTTTAAAGAAAAGAAGGTAAAATAATTGGGTATCCTGGACCATTTATACTTTTTTTGGTGCTTTCAAAAAATAGTTTAATTTTTTATATGTGGAGGTAAGCCATAATGTTCAGATGCAAAATTAAAATTTATTTATAATTTATTTTTCATCTATATCAATCAAAAACTGCCTTAAAGTGTGTAATTATTTATTTTATTTATTTATTTAGAATTTAAACATAAAAAATCCAACTTAGCCTGGACACAAACCAAGCATAACGGCTGCCCACAGCTATCAATGAAAAGGGGGTGGCAAAAAACCGCCCTGCGAGTTGATAAGACAGCTGTGTGTGCCTCTGCTTTTGTTTGTTTGCCATTTCTCTTGTTCTTGCCGCTCTCTCGCTTTCCCACTCTCCCAGCACTTGCGCAGAAATGCCGCCAAACACAAAGTGCTTAATATTATTAAAAAAATTGCAACATTTTAATCAAGCTTCAGGCCCCTTACTAAATTTAAGTTAAAACCCACAATTAAATGCAAATAAAGTAAATGTTAATCATTAAACAGCTGCTTGTAGCAAAAAATAACGGCACTTTATAGTCGCTCTCTCCGATCCTGCCGCTCTCTCGCACTCCTTTTGGGTGCCCAGCTGTCTAGTAAAAGGAACACATTTACATTTCCCATTTTTGGGCGCAGTTGCAAAAGTTACGTGAAAAGGCGAAGGACAACAGTTACTACTTACAACAAACCGTGTGTGTGTTCGGAAAAATAATTGTAAAAAAGAAAAGAATTTAATAGCAAAGAACAAGGATTTTGGGCGCATTGGAAAAAGTGCAAATATGACAAAGGCTGCAAAATGTGTACAAATTAGCAAAGCCACTGGAAGAAGAAGAAGAGCATAAGGAAGAGGGTGCAACAATAATAAACAACAACAACAACAACAACAGACTTCATTGTGTAAGTGCATCACGTTTGCAAACCGTTTATTGACCGCGACTCTTGAGCTCGAGGGTTAAAAGCCTACTTAACCCATCAACTTTTGAGTAACGGGCCACGATTTTTATTGATTAAGACACAAAAAAAAAAGACCAAAAAGGAAGCCAAGACACATAGGACACACGTGTGAGAGGAGGACAGGCATAACAGCGGTAAAACGGTAACGGGACAGACACACAGACAGACGATTGCGTGCGTAAAAAGTGGGGGGTGGAGGGTTGGAAAAATGTGGGAACACAGGGAATGGAAATATGGAAATGCCACTCATCATATGAGGCCTAAAAATATGAACGATTTATTATTAGGACCTATTATTGGGACCACAAGTGAACAGCTACCCAAGTAGCAAAGATATGCCGAGTACCAGGGAGTGACTTTTTCCAAAAGGGGTTGGGAATCCTAAGAAAACAAAGGAGTGCAATGTAGGTTTATAGACCTAGGCTTGAAATTATTGGGTGGAGAAGTCCAAGATTCACTTCAATCTGGGCAGGATCGAACTTTATTGTTAAAAAACAGATTTATATTTGATATTTAAAATTTCTTTGAGGCCCAATACTATGTAATATTGTTTAATTTATAACGATACAACATTGTTAAGGCATTCCTTTCTGCCAGAATAATAAAATTGTAGCCAAGAAAGTCAAGTGCGACAGCGTGAAGATAACAAAGAAATGACATTTCCCCCCAACCAAAAGTCCATGTTGAATATTCAAGGAAAACAATGCATGCAAGTCAGGCAACCAACCAACCCAAGCTCTCTTCTCAACGACCTTCCCTCCCACCTCCTCAGACACTATACACTTTCCCGAGTGCTTTGAGCCCCTATATTGTATATATAGGCATATTGACATACTAAAGGCATAGATCAAGTGCCTTGACAAGAGGCCACAGCACCTAACTAAATATAAACACATAAATTAAGGAAGTGAAAGCCGAAGACACGATTCGAGTGTTAGGAAAAAGAGTGCGTCATGGAATTTCCAGGAAAAGCAATTAAGTGGAGGATAAAATGGGAAATTTCTGGGATACAAAAAAAACATGCGGTGGTAATTTGAAGACTTAATTATGGCCTTGTCCAATCGAGGACAGCTCTAATTATCATATTATCTTAATTAAAATTCGTTGTTAGAAGCTAGGGATTATGAATTTGGATTAAAAAAAGAGCTTGTTATTAAAAGCTTGTTATTAACAAATTGACCCAGTTCTTTTATTTCCAATTAATTTTACTGATAAACCAACCTGATTTATACACACAAGCTGTGGCTAATAAGCATAGTATTAACTATAGATAACCTCCTTAAAAATATGTTAGTTATGCAGGAGCTTTTAGTCAGGAAACAGGTCACTGATAGTTATAGAGTTTCACTTATAAAACCGTGTGATAATCAATAGAGTGAAATGAAAAGGTGGACAAATAAACTCATATAATGTCCCACTTGGTATCCTTGCTTGCAATGGAAACTAGGGAGTGCTGTGGTCGTTATCCAGCGATGAATTTAACTCAACCCTTCCGGCCACTAGATGTCTTTGCATGTGGTTCTGTTTGCATACGCCACAAAAACCCATCCCCATCTCGGTCGTCGTAGTCGTCGGTGTCCCCTCTTCATCGGAGTCCTACTTTTGCAACATGAATGAATGACTCTAACTACATTTCCCATGCAAGAGCCGAGGGATCCATGCTTGTCCGCTATACCCACTCCTTATTCCTGGCGCCTCCTGCTGTTTGCTTGTCAAAAACGTCAAAAGTGCGATAGTGAAGACCCCAATGAAGAACAGAATGGGTTACACTGGGGGAAAAAATCAATATAGAGGAAGCTTGTTTTCTAAAAGTAAAAAACAAGAAGGGGCTTCGAAAGCGACGCCAGTTTCCATATTCCGCGAAAAAACCTTCTTGAACCGGATTTATGACGAGAGTTTTACAATTTCTTTAATATTTAATATATTTTCTCCGAGTGCACAAAGCTTGCCAGCGACGACTTAAGGCTGGTGAAGGGACCAACCACCTCCTTATTTGCATGGTTACCAAAGTAGTCCGGAAAAGCTCAGACCCCAGTCCCCAGGACCCTAAATGATGTTGCAGTAGCCGCCGGGCGGGATGATGCACAGAAACCCTCCCCCCTCAAACGCATGAAATAGTGCCATAAATGACATGTGATAGATGGATGGATGGACACTTGGGTAGGGCTTTGGGGGATTAGCTCGGAATGTGGCCCAAATGAGGCTGCACCCGCACCCTCACTCCGCCCGCCTGCCGGGCCTGCTACTCCTGTAATTAGGCTCCCCTTCGAGCCGGGAGAGGCCATAAAAATCCTTGATAGTAGCCAGCTTTGACTTTATCTATTGCCTTAGTCTATAGCCATCCTCAATCCCACACTTTTTTTCAGTTCAGCCACTTGAGTTGATTCTTTTCGGCCCTCCGTTCCTTTTTATTACGTATACGCCCCGCTGGTTGATGTGGCACAGCACTCGGGGCGAGACTGCCAGCAAGCCAGTCAGCTAGTCAGCCAGAGCAGCCCCGGCCATCTGCTTCAATATTTGGTCTGAGCAAATATGAAATTCCCAATTCTGACCGTTGGAGTGGGAGAGAGTGAGAGTCTCCTATATGTAGGTTTAACAAATTCCAAGTTGGGACAATCATTTCACGCCCTGCCTCGCCAGTTGGAACTAATGCCATCCGATGCATTCGTTCAGCCGTGGCTAATGGGAAACAAGTGGAAAATAATGTAGATCATCATTATATCGATCCCTGCTAAGTGCTAGCTTACTCTAAATTCTGAGAGGCTTATCAAAAAAAAGGCCTAGGTTTTTATTTATCAAGAACTCTGAATTCACTGTGGGAATTTACATATTAAAAAAAAAGCCGCCCCTCCATTTGCTTGCAATTATAAAAAAATACTTTCAATATCGAGCGCAGTTTCCATAGAGAGTGCAAGCGATCCACACGAATCGAGTGAGAGAGAATCTAGAACCAAAAGCAGTGACGATCATCGGTCCAAGATAATTAACACGGGCAATTAGTGCTGGATCGTTCAGATAGAGAGATAGAGAGTACGAGTTGTAGAATATTTTTATGAATTTATAAATTATTAAAATGTTTGTTTATTCTTCTTCTCACAGCAACATGACAAACGCCAGCTGAAACGCTACGTGGAAGACGCTAAAGTCGGCGGTGGTTTGGTGGTTTATTAGCATTCCCCCCAAGAAGACACCCGTAGGTTAGAGAGTGTGTGATCACCATGCGACGTCCAAAAATATCCCTCAAGAAGTACTTTTATTTCACACTGATCTGCGCCCTCCTCCTCATATTCGGTTTCAATATCAAGTGAGTAAGACAAGACACACCATCATAGCATTAAATATGACATTAAGTTGAAATATATATAATACATTTCTAGGTTTACTAATAATGATGAATTAAATTATTAAAAATTTTGAGCCTAGTCTCATGATCATACATTTATTTATTTTGCTAGGAATAATAATAATGATGAACTTAAAATATAAAATATTTGGTTTAGACTGAAATTACTTCTTTAAAGATTTTTCAATTAAAAAGTGGAGGAAGAAAACTATAATACATTTTTTAACCAATATTTTACTTAATAGGGGCGACTTCCTTTAAACCATTCTTAAAATTGCACAAATTTAATGAATTAATTTTAAATATATTTCTTAACAATTTCAAATTATTTTAAGATAAGACTATTTCCATAGGTAATATAAGCTAAAGCAAAAGCCTTTAATCAGTACGAAATATCGCAAATCATATAATCAAACAATCTGAAATATAATCATAAATTCTATGCTTTATATTTCCCATTGTCACAGCAATTTGTATAAAATTGATAAGTTATTATCACCTTTATCAGGGAGAGGCTCTCTTTATAATATAATATAGAAATATACAGCCAGAAAGATTCGACACCTAACAAAATATATCAGTTCTTTTATTTGTTGTTAAATGATATGATCAATAAGGTTTTTATTTTTTCTGATGGTAACAATTTATTTTTTAAAGTGTAAACCTTTATATTTGTTAGTATTTGTATTTGTTTGTATTACTCATAAGCATAGTTTTATTTGTTATTATATTTACAAAACGTTTTGATAAGGCTGCCCCCAAGGGGCAAAGATTGCCCTACCTCAAATGGGTTCACTTGATTTCAAGTGAATTTACTAAAAAAAAATCATAAAGTATATTTCAAGAGAATTTTTTAAATGAAATAATAAAGGTTTTTCACAAAAAATGCATCATAATATAATTTAAAAAAATAAAATTAAAATAAAAAGCGCTGTTTACTTACTTTTTAAGTCATAGAAATGTGAAATATAATATATAATTAATTTATAAAATTTAATTAAACACTACAAATTATCTTAATTTTTTCTCATCCCCAGAGAGCACGAAATATGGAAGACTCGGACTCCCCGGTCTGCCCTTATAACCACACAACAGCAGCTGCATCAACTGCAATCCCTGGATGAGGAGCATACACTGGCCACTAGCACCACACCTCCACCAGCAGCAGCTGCCACACTGGTGCCCGAAAGCAGTGCCAATCTCGTCGAGGAGCCAGAACAGGCGGAACTCCAGGATGAGGGGGATTTAGAGGAGAGCGAAGCGGATAGACAACAGGAATCAACACTGGCTAAGCCTTGGTTCTTTAAGAATGGCGAATACTATCCAAAACCGGCCAAAACCTACAGTAATCGCAAGGCCCGAAAGCGACATGCTCCCCGACTGTTGCCTCATCAGGATCCTCACTCTGATCGGATCACCAATCAGCTGATGTACGTGCCGCACAACTATGAACAGATCAAGGAGAGCGGCAAACTAAAGACCATCCTGCTGTTCAATGGCCTCGGTCCCTGGAATGTGAAGAAGGGTCGTGATGTCTTCCTAAAAGCCAAGTGTCCGGTGGACACCTGTGAACTGACTGCCAATCGGGATCTGGTTAGCACGGCCGACATGATCCTGTACAAGGATCATTACATACCCACGGGCATAAGGAGGCCCAGCAACTCCAAGCAGGTCAGCATGCTGTATTACCTGGAGTGTCCTTATCACACGCAAAATGTCAAGGTGCCCGATGCCATCAACTGGACGGCGACCTATAGGTGGGTCTCTTAAAAAACATATAAATTAGATAATTAATATATAAATTATACCCCCTATTTGTTACAGACGTGACAGCACTATAGTGGCGCCTTATGAGAAGTGGCAGTACTACGACACCAAAGTCCAACAACAAGAGCAGGATCAAAATTATGCGGTCAACAAGACCAAGAAGGTGGCCTGGTTTGTGTCCAACTGTGGGGCCAGAAATGGACGGCTTCGTTATGCCCATGAGCTGCAAAAGCACATAGAGGTGGGCATAAAGCCTTGAGTCACTTTATCCTCAGTTATATTTATAAACTTCACCTTCAGGTTGACATCTATGGGGCATGTGGCAACTTCAAGTGTTCCCGCAGCACGGCGGACAAGTGTTTCGAGATCCTCGACAACGACTACAAGTTCTACCTGGCTTTTGAGAACTCCAACTGCAAGGACTACATCACTGAGAAGTTCTTTGTGAATGCCTTGAATCGTAGGGTTCTGCCCATTGTGATGGGCGCTCGACCCGAGGACTACGAGGTGAGTGCTCCGCGTCGTTCCTATATCCATGTGGACGAGTTTGCTTCGCCCAAGGAGCTGGCGGAGTATCTGCGGATTCTCGATCGCGACGATGAGCTGTACAACTCGTACTTCAAGTGGAAGGGCACTGGTGAGTTCATCAACACGTACTATTGGTGTCGCGTCTGTGCCACCCTGCACAACGAGGAGCAGTTGCGGAAACCGCGATGGTACAGTGACCTCAACGACTGGTGGCGGGGAGCGGGCGTGTGTACAACGGGTTCTTGGAGGAACTTTAAGGCGCGCAAGGATGTAATCAGCGATGACTGAGTGCGAGTTGAGGAGGCCATACAGATTGTGGGCATGGCGTAGATCACACATTTCATCATCATCACATATTCAGTGAGTCCCTTTTCGCTTCTGAATTGTTTTTGTTTTGTAGAGGGAAAAACAACCCATCCCATCCCATCCCTCCCTTTGCTAACCATGTGTAAAGTGTCGCTTCGTTTTAGCCGGAGTTTAACGTAAATGTTTTTGTAGTTAGTTAGTAAGTAAAGCAGGGATGAAATAAGGAGGAGAAACGTTTAAACACTAGCCCCATAGACTAACGAAGATCCCGGTGCAGATCGTTGTAACATATACAATATACCAAACCAGAGACGCATAAGAAAAACCTAGAAACCTAGCCTATAGTTATTATATACGGATATACAAATGATATACATAGATTGATAATTTATATACATATATAGTTGTTTAATTACTAAACGCAAGTCCAACATAGAGCATACAAAATGAGAGGCAAGCAAGTTACAAGTAGTTCGATATTAAATAGCTTAACTGAGCCATCAGCTATATAGCCTATAACTTTTGTAAGTGTTTTTTTGTAAGCTGCAATATAATTACTATTTTTTATTATAATCGTTTTTTTTTAGTTTATGATTTTCCTACCTAGTCCTGGCAGCTGTAGTTAGAGCTACTTGAAACGGTTTCCCCGGCCTGTTGACTTAAACTACTTAATCTAGAATGGATTCGCACAAGCCAACATCTATTATATAAAGATATATATCTGATCTAATACAAATACAATCTGCATTCCTATTTTGTCACAAAATATTCTACATATTAATGGCGTGTTACTTACGCTTAAGTGTATGTTTTTACACATTTTTTTGTTAGCAATATTTGTGTATTTATTTTATAAGTATTATGGTATAATAATAAATCATCTGTGTGTGTATTTTGATTGTGAAACTTGTTTAACTTTTCATTTTTACTGTGATACAAAAACATAATAATAATTATAATAAACAAGAATTAAACAAAGGCAAATGTAATTTTAGTTATTTGTTAAAGGAATTTTTATTGGGAATGGGACAAAAAAAAACTTAATATAGGCAAAAAAAAAAAGTGAACATTCGATTCATTAAGGAAATACTGAAAATAAGCTCAAAAAGCCACGTATACTTCAAAGAACATCAAGGATGTTTTAAGACAAATTACAAAATTAGACAACATAAAAGGAAATTCACTGAAAAATTATATCCTTTATAGAAAGCCTCAAAAGGAGCATATCATTTCAATCTCTTAAACATGACACATTTTCAGCTGCTGCAATAAATCCTTTAAAACATTTAATTTTTCCTTTTTGGCTTCTTCTTTTCCTGCTGCTGCAGCCACAATTTTTGCTGTAATTTTCCGCTGCAAAGCAATGGCTTCCACTTTCTTGGAAAGCTGCAAAAAAGTTATACTTTTTTTTAGCAAAAAGATATATGAAAGATATTTAAATAAAACAACCCACCTCATAGGCTCTCTTGATGATGCCATGCGGCATGCCCGCCAGCTTGGCTGCATTGAAGCCATAAGACTTGGGACAGGCTCCAGCTGTGTATTTGTAGAGGAACGTAACCGTTTCCTGGGTGGGATCTGCATTGTCTTCGTTTTCCACCATGCAGGCCATGTGGCCCAGCGTGATCCTTTTGTCGTTGTGGAAAAAGTCAATCAGATTGTGGTAGTGAGTGGAGAACAAAGTGCGACACTTGAGGTTGGCCAGGAAGTTGACCACAGAGGCGGCTATGGCAGTGCCATCATAGGTGGCTGTGCCGCGTCCTAGTTCATCAAGTAAAACCAGCGAATGGTAGGTGGCATGCTTGAGAATCAGCGAGGTTTCATTGAGCTCCACGAGGAAGGTACTGTGTCCAGCTAGGATGTCATCCTGGGCACCCAAGCGAGTGAAGATTCTGTCTACCAGGGAGAGGCGGCAGCTGGCAGCGGGAATGTGTGCACCCTAAACAAAAAGGGAATTTTTAATAAAAAATATATTTAGGAATCTTTTAAAACCCCTTACAATTTGCGCCATGATCACCAGCAATCCCAGCTCTCTCATCAGCGTACTCTTGCCGCCCATATTGGGTCCTGTGAGTAAAGACAGCGGCGCCTCCTTTTCCGTGCCCAACTCCAAGCCATTGGGTATATAAGTGGAGGCATTCACACACGGATGATAGCCCTCCTCCAGCTGTATGAACGGTTGTTCCGCGCCAGAAACCAGCTCTGGCACACAGATGGTCATCTGTTGTCCTGCATACTCCGCCAGGGAGCCCAGGACATCCAGATTGGCCACACAATCGATGCACTGCTTCCACTGTTCGTAGTGATTGGAGAACTTTTCAAAAAGGCGACGTGCCAAGTCTTTTAAAACCATATTCCGTGTATCCTCCGCCTGCTGCATGTCCTTGAGGAAGGCACGCGTCTCCGCGGTGGTGTAGCGTCGTGAAGGCTTCTTGCCTTTGGTTTGTCCCTCCAAGGAATAGGATTTATTGGCCTTATTGGCATGCGTCTCGGGCACCTCCAACTGATAGCGTTTCTTGTCGCTACCAAAGTAGATGACACGACAGCCAAAGTGACGCTCTTGCTCCACCAGATAGGTCTTCAGGCGTCCCTCTATTACCTCTATGGCATCCATGGCCGAGTCGTACTCCGCATCCATTCCCGCTTGAGGAGCAATCACTCCTGTCTTGCCTGCTGCCTCGTGATCAAAGGCGGTGGCAAAATACTTGAGTTCCTTGCTAAGATCGGGAAATGTCCCCCCAGATTGCGGAAGCTGGGTAATTCTCTTTAGCAAAGCCGACTCGCATTGATGGAAAATCATGGGCAGCTTGGTCAGGGAATTGAAGCCGTTCAAAACGCTGATAAAGCCACGCAGCTTCTGCTTGTTGTAAAGCTTTTCCTCGAAAAGAATGGCCCGAGAGTCGGGATGATTCATATCCTTGATTTGCTTGTTGCCAAATAGGTGAATCTGAGCCAGATTCCTCTCGAAATCCGGCATGGGAGCCAGCAGGGCTCGCATCTCCTGCAGCTCGCTGGACATTCTTATCAACTCCCCAATGGCCTCTTGGCGCTCCTCAATCACAGCCACATCGCAGCTGGGGGCACAGAGCCAGTGATGCAGCAGACGCTTACCAAACTTGGTGCAGCAGTGATCCAAAGTGGAGAGCAACGAGTGATCCTCGCCTATAATTCTGAGATTGGACAAAGTTGTGGCATCCAAGACCATGTGGGAGCGTCTTAAGGAGGCCTTCGGTTTGGCAGCTTGCTCTTCCGCCAACTGATCGGGCGGCACATAAAGCTGATAACGCGCCATAGGCAAAACCTTTGGTTCCAGCTTGCATTTGTGTATGAAGAAGATGCACTGACCCAGGGCCTTCAGGGCCAGCTTGTAGTCCTCGTTGGGCGTGAGACCCAAGTGATCCAAATCCGACTGCATGGTGCGCAAGACCAGCGGCCAATTGTCATCAGAACCATCAGCCTTGCCGGCATAATAGCGCTCGGCCAGGAGTTTGAGGGTTTTCTCAGCATTGCAGCCTTGGGGTCCATTGCTGGGCAGCTGCTCGCGGAGGATGCCACCCAGGACTGTGCGCACAATTTGCTGAGAACGCTGACTTAAAGAGGATTTCTCATTGAGGAGCTGAGGGAAAAGATAATTTCATTAAATTTAAAGTTTAAAAATTCTGGGAAGGATCTTGCTCACCAGCACTGGCATATGATGGGAGAGCAGCGTCAGCAGCCGAGAACAGTTCTTGTCATCCTCAAACTCCCCTAGATGGAAATCCCCAATGGAGGTGTCTATGAAGCACACACCATAGCGACTCCAAGTGCCCTCATCCTGCTCGACCAGGGCCAGCATATAATTAGGCTGATGATTGGGTCCAATTTGGCACTGGGAACCAAAGACCTGGGTGCCGCGATTGGTGATTTGACAGATCTCGCGGGCCACCACCTTGTCGAATTTGGTGGCCTTTATACGCTTGCAGCGTTCGGTCATCATGTCCGGGGTTTCCGTTTGCTCCACGCGAGCCACCTGCCAGAAATCAAGAAGTTAAGATTTAAAAGGAAAAGTATATTAAATTCAAGACCTCACCTTGTATCCCCTGTCTATGAGAATGGTAGACATCTTGTCGAAGGATATCTCCGGGAAACCCGAGTGTGCAAACTCCCCCCTCATATAGGTGAAGCCCAGCTCATTGACACCCACATCCGCATCGCCATGGTAGAGCTCATAGAACTTGCCCACCTTGAAGAACAGCACACAGTCGTAGTTGTCCGACTTGAGGACCCACCACTGGCGTACACCCGGCGACAGGCTGTTGAGGAACTTCTCCGGCACATGCAAAGTGCTGCCGTCGTAATCCGGATGATCTGGCCTTCGCCCCGCCTTGTCCTTGATTTTGTCGGGCTGCAGGAACTCCAGTTTCTGATGTGGCCATATCACAGGCTCGTCCAGGTTCGAGGTGCTGGTCACTATATCATCGTAGGCGGCATCCTTCTTGGCATTGCTCTGCAGGTTCTTGAGCTTCTCCTGGAAGGTGGATCCCTCGGTCAGCTCCAGCTTAACCTTCTTGGTAGATGGCTCAATGTTATTATTATTGTTATTGACGTTCTTGGCTTTCTTGCGCGACTTCTTGACCACGGGACTGTCTACGGAAGTGTCCATGTCGCTGGATTCCTCTACTTCCTCCTCACCGCTGCTGACGCTGTCGTCGCTGGCTTCATTGGCATCCGGTTCGTAGTCGGAGGCGCCCTCGGAAAAGTCCTCCTCGGACTTGGTCTCTTCCATTTCCTCCTCGCTCTCCGATTCGGGTTGAATGATGCGCTTTCGCTTGTGCTGGCCATTGGTCTCCTGCTCATCCCCGGACATGGGCAGCTTCCTCTTGGCCGCCGGCTTAGATACCGCCTTTGGTGTTTCCACTTTCGGTTGTACATTCTTGAGGTTCTCCTTTTCGGTGGTGGTCTCTGGATCGGCTTTTCCGCTGGGCGTCAGCTTTTTCTTGTCGACAGCCGGCGATTTGCTGAAGTAATTAAACAGTGTGTTTGTGGGCGTTCCACCCACACTGGTGTTCAGCTTCTTGGACATGTTTATGGTCTCCAAATGACAGCCAAGGGTCCACAAAATCAGGATAAAGACGCCAAGATATGCGCCAAAAATCTGTGCAGGCTGCCAGATGTAGAAAGTCAACCCGCGAAAAGCAGCTGAATGGAAAGCGTTGCCAGGCGGTTCTTAAAACAGCTGTCAAGAAGTTAAGCCCTATATGCACTGCACAAAATAACAAGATGTTGACAGTCTGGCAAAGCCGGACCATTCTGTCCTGAGCCCTTTAGTGTGCCCAGGTGCCTTGAAAGCGGTAATACAACCTTTTTAGCATTATAAATGAAAAACCCTGCGAGCACACAATCTTCTGTTTGCATTTTCTAAAAGTTCACAAATTTAAGCAAAATATTCATTAAAACATAATAAAATGTCGCTAGCGGACGAACTTCTGGCCGACCTCGAAGAGGACAATGACGACAATGAAGAGGACGAGGACGATGCGGAGATGGCTAACGCCGAGGAGGAGAACGTAAGGAGTAAACAAACCTTGCCGGTTAGCTTTTTTCACTTGGAGAACCCCCATTCCACCCACAGCTCCTGGCCGAGAAGCTGTCCAAGCCGGCTCCCAACCTGATGGATGTGGATGTGACGGTCCAATCAGTGCGGGAACTCTGCAAACTGCGCGACTCCGAGCGCCTGACGAATATCCTGCAGCAGATCGAACACTATGCCAGCCGTCAGAGGACCGCCGCCGAAATGTTGGGCTCTGTGGAATCCGATCCCGAGTACTGTCTCATTGTGGATGCGAATGCCATTGCCGTGGACATTGATAACGAGATCTCCATTGTGCACAAATTCGCCAAGGAGAAGTACCAGAAACGCTTCCCTGAATTGGACTCCCTGATTGTCGGTGAGATTGAGTATTTGCTGGCGGTCAAGGAGCTGGGCAACGATCTGGATCAGGTGAAGAACAATGAGAAGCTGCAGGCTATACTCACGCAGGCCACTATTATGATTGTGTCCGTCACAGCGTCGACAACACAGGGGTGAGTTCTTCTTAAGGGAATCTTTTAATTAAATTCTTTAAAATACATTTTATTTTTAGAACCATGTTGACGCCTGCAGAAAAGGCCAAGATCGACGAGGCCTGCGAAATGGCCATCGAGCTAAACAACTTCAAGTCCAAGATCTACGAATATGTGGAGAGTCGCATGACCTTCATAGCCCCTAATCTTTCGATGATTGTCGGCGCCTCCACAGCTGCCAAGCTTCTGGGCATCGCCGGTGGCCTCTCCAAGCTCTCCAAAATGCCCGCCTGCAATGTCCAGGTGTTGGGTGCACAAAAGAAAACCCTTTCGGGCTTCTCACAGACACAGATGCTGCCCCACACGGGTTACGTTTACTACTCACAGATTGTCCAGGACACGGCTCCGGATTTGCGACGCAAGGCGGCAAGATTGGTGGCCGCCAAGTCAGTGCTTGCTGCCCGCGTCGATGCTTGTCATGAGAGTGTCCATGGGGAGATTGGGCTGCGGTTCAAGGAGGATATTGAAAAAAAGCTGGACAAACTGCAGGAGCCGCCACCGGTGAAGTTCATCAAGCCGCTGCCAAAGCCCATCGAGGGCAGCAAGAAGAAGCGAGGAGGCAAGCGTGTTCGCAAGATGAAGGAGCGTTATGCCCTCACAGAGTTCCGCAAGCAGGCGAATCGCATGAATTTTGGCGATGTAAGTGACTTGAGATTTTCCTTGATTTTTATAAAACAATTACTCCTTTTCCCCAGATCGAGGAGGATGCCTATCAGGGAGACTTGGGCTACTCGCGAGGAACAATTGGCAAGACTGGCACTGGACGCATCCGTTTGCCTCAGGTGGATGAGAAGACCAAGGTGCGCATTAGCAAGACGCTGCACAAGAACCTGCAAAAGCAACAGGTTTATGGAGGAAACACCACAGTCAAGCGGCAAATCTCCGGAACAGCCTCGAGTGTGGCATTTACACCCCTGCAGGGCCTGGAGATCGTAAATCCCCAGGCGGCGGAACGTTCCCAGACCGAGGCCAATGCCAAATACTTTTCCAACACCTCCGGATTTCTGTCCGTGGGACATCGAACCACCTAAGCCAAGCAAGCTTTCTACTTTTACCTATAAATTAAGCACTTTTATTTGGAGATTTGTCGAATGTAGAAGTAAAAGCTGCTATAAAGCTGCAAGAGAGATTCCAATTGTTGTTAGCTGAGCTTGCCCACCTCCAGTTTGCGCTGAATGGCCTCCCAGGAGTTGTTTAGCAGCACGGCCAGAATTCCGGCCACCGTGAAAACGCCGCCAATGATGGAGCAACAGTTTGTGGCAAAGTGCCCAAAGGAGCTGTGGATAAGGCCAATAAAAATTAAAATTTAATATACAAAATAGGTTTATTTTTTGGGATTTTACTGACTTGCGCTTCTCAGCATATTTCACCATGAGTGGGGATAGCTCGTAACTGAAGAATATGCCTGGCATGCCCCGTTCGCGATCCGAAAGATCCTTGCGGTAGCGCGTCACGGAGAATTGATTCGTGTAAATGGGCTGGCCATCGCTGCCACCCCTCTGGTACAGTGTAGGCACAATTTTTAAATAGTAATTAAACATTTCACTTTTGGATTCTGAAAGCAATAGCAAACAAAAACCAATTAGAAAACCATTTAAGGCAAAAAGTTTAAAATTCCCGCTATATGGGCCTGAGCTTAGCGCCCTCTACCGGAAATTTAAAGCACTTCACCCAGTGGCCCAGGGCTGGACAACAAGATGGCAGCTCCGATTGCAAAGGACTATACACAAGATATATTCATTTATTAATAATATATAAATATATAATTTAAATGGAAATAAAATGATAAATTAAAAACTATATTTTGTTCACAAAAAAAAAGCAAAACAACCAATAACATCAATCTATCTCCTTTTTAAATAACGTCATTACTATCGATACTGTCATCGAAGTTCTCGCATCCCTAGCCGATCACATCGACACGCGACGTTCGACAAGTCCGGAAAATAAATAGAAAATTTCCCAAAGTTGACGAACTTTTCGGCATTATCTACTTTTAATCCGGACGCGAGTCGAGGCGTGAAGCTTGGTGGAGCATCAGACCAGTCAGACGGAACAGAGCAAGCGGAAACAAAGGATACAATTGAAAGATGCCACTGCCCTCGAGCTCGTTCTCCCAGCAGGGACCCACCTGCTTCGACAAGATGAAGACGGGCTTCATTATTGGTTTCTGCGTGGGCATGGCCAGCGGAGCCCTCTTCGGTGGCTTCTCCGCACTCAGGTGGGTTGTGTTAGACTTCGCACCCTGTAGATGGGGGCACTCCGCCGGCGTGACGCAAGGCGGAGAGGTCATTATGTAATTTATGCCGGCTAACAACTAACTAATGAACCGAAACTGAAACTTCACAGATACGGACTGCGCGGCCGGGAGCTTATCAACAATGTGGGCAAGGTGATGGTCCAGGGCGGCGGTACATTCGGCACGTTCATGGCCATTGGCACTGGGATACGCTGCTGATCCGCCTTCAGCCGGCATTTTCAATTAGTTACTAAAAAACCCAACCTAAACCTTACTCCAATCTTGTTTAAATTACGCTAAGTTATTTTCAATAATAAGAGATGTTAACCGAAGTCGAGTTACGTGTGTTGACTTACCCGCGACATCCACGCGTAGTCCATCCAATGGGTGGGTTTTGGCAAACTCAATCTTCTCGCCAAAGGACAAGTGATTGATGGTGTGCGATAGCTTAACGTTGCTAAACTGGAAGTCATGGATGTGAAACTGACGAATGGAGAAGCTCTTCCCGGGGGCAAAGTGAAAACTGCCGGCCATGCGATTCACCTCCAGGTGGCCCTGGATGCGGCAACCCTCCTTGAAAGCGTCCTCATCGCTGCGCTTGTACTTTCCCTTGCACTGCTCGATCTTGTCCACTTGGACGTTCCACTTGCGCAGCCGGTAGGCGTCAAGCACCTCATCGCAGGTGTTGCAGCAGCTGGAGGAAGAGGATTACATTAAGGATACAGATGTTGTTGAACATCATCCAGGTCTTACTGTGTGGCATTGTGCTCCGCCCCGTAGCAACTGCCACAAGTCACGTTCTTGTTGGGCGGCGAGACAGCCACAATCTCCTTGATGGGCGTCTCCTTCAGGGGCTCCCCATTGAGGTCTAGTCGGTGCTTGAAGACATCGTGATCCACCCGCAGGTGTGTGTCTCCCGAGGAGTCCATTGCATCCAGGGAGATGTAATTGCAGGCCAGGTTGTGCAGCGTTACATCCAGATTGATGCGCAGCTTGTGACCACGGGTGGTGTCCACGAAGAGCTCCTCATTCAGAGTGGGCTGTATGTAGCTGAGGAACTCGAGGAAGATGAGCAGGCTAATGATGCTGGTGCTAATTATCGTAACTGAAAAGTCGGGGGAAAAGCCGGTTGTTAGGTTTTTCCTATTGTCAAAATCAATTCGGAGCACCCACCTGCGGCGCCGCCCACTGTCCGCACGCTGAAGTCGTCCAGGGTCCGTGGATACGCGTCCAGGCGTCGCAGCACATCGGCGAACTTCATTTTAAACACAGAAAAACCCACGAAAAGACGTACTCTAAACGTAAACAATAAAAATTACATCGTTTTTTTCTGGCGGCGGCAAGTGACGTGGTGCTGCGCGCCTTGCCAGATGGTTGCGGTTTGCCAGAAACAGCTGTTAGCGGGTGATATTATAGTGCTGCCGGACTAATGAAAAACTGTGGTCAACGGTGTTTCCGTTAAATTTGAAGATTTTAGAAGAGATTTTGAACTTATCGGGGAATTCCCGAAAATGTTTATAATTTTTTCTTAAATATTAATTACTACTAAAAACCTTGTAGAAAAAAAGATGTGTTTAATCTGTACATATGATCAGATTGCAGCCTTTTGTTAATTTTGCATTGTTAGAAATTGAAAATCTATTAGTCACACGCTTGAAGGTGCAGTTTTAATCTGGATCTGGATATTAGTTAGTATTGATTTATTTTATAAATATATTAAAAAAAATTATATTTAGTTTGGAAGTAAAGTTTCATTCATCATTTTTCATTTTTTGAGTTCATTATTATTATTATTCAATTTTTTGAAACTTGAAATGTCTTCAAATAACCTTTTAACGATTTAATTTTATTAGTTTTCTTAGTTTTAATTTGTCTGAATTTTTTTTCTTCCTTATCCTTCATTAACTGGCTACTTTTCCCCATTCATTAGGCATACGTCACGTTGGCCCGCCGATAATTACGACCTCCGCGGCGTTTGCCCGCCCTTTCCAATGGCCGCGCATAATGTTTAATAGTGTTGTCATGTCTTGGGGCTGTGGCTGCGCATACATTAAGGCCAAAGCTATCCCGTCCGCCATTCTTCGGCACCCTTAACCCGTTGCTCCGGCTGCTGCTGTGGTCCAGGAGACCGCGTCTAATTTTATAATACATGTTAAACAGATGAAAGGTTAATTGAAAGGAACCACAAGTTTCGACAGCCCACGCTTGGCTTTTAAGGGGTTGCAACCCCCAATGCCCCCCGTCCTACTCTCCTTCGCCAAAGGCAAGAATAATAGGAGCCTGTGGGCACATCCCCAGGGGATTTTGGTTAGAGTTAAAAGTTTTCGCTTAAATATAAATCACCAAATGGCTTGCCGCTTGACTGATTGAAGCCAAAAACGCAAAACCAAACCCAAAACCCAGAGGCCCAGGCTGATGAACCCTGGAAATCCATGCAGGGTCACAAATAATTGCGTGTGTAGGTGTATAAGAACATGCCGCGACTTTGTGTAATTACCAATTAAGTTCAAGACCCGGCAGCTGACTTGCTCTGTTACTAAAGCACTCTTTAGTTGCCATTGTATCTCTTTTTTCTCGCCTTTCTGACCTTTTTTTTTTTGCAATTACCTGAAGGAGAAATCTGTGAAATCGGGCGAGGCAGGTGGAGCAGATGACAAAGATTAGCCAGCGGTAATTTTTCTTATTTCTTTCTAAATTGGAGTAAAGGGATTGGGAAGGGTATGAGATGGATTATATGACTGAAGGATAATTATTTGAAGGTTCTGAGGATTTTATATTATCATTGAAATATATGAGGATTTTGGATCTATTGCAATTGCGTCAAAAAGTATGCTATAAAACATTACATACCTTGAAAATCCTTGAAAAACATAATTATAGGAAAATTATCAATTATTTCAACGATTTAGACTTTAATATCTATAAATTACTGCCTCTCCCTTTCTTAAAAATATAATTCTGTATTTTTTCCTTTCATCCATGAAAGGTCATAGTCCTTTTCCTTTATATTAGACCGACTTATGGCCACAGGGCATTCGGGTTTTTGCCATGGCATCATTTCGGCCATTTGCCTCGACGCCACCCACCATAACACCCAGTCACCCAACCACCTTTCCCCCTGTTCTTATCTCCCCGCTAATTTGCATTTCTAACCATTTCGCTCTAACCAATTCGCGTCATTTCTTATTTGAAACAATGAGCCCAACAGCAGCCAGAACAAATAACGGAGAAGGAGTCATTGTGCTCCGGCTTTGCAGGCAATAAAAGACTCCGGAGACAAAAGAGCCGGAGAGAGCGTGTCAAGAAACTTGGACCCGGACAGAGGATGGAGTGGGTGGCAGGAGGAGAAGGGTAAGAAGAAAGCAAAAGAAAAGGCAGAAAAGAAGTTGGCGTAAAGCAGCTTAAACAATCAGGACTGCCTAATGGATATTGACACTTTAATGCCCTGGCCACCAACTCAGGCTCCAGTTTGGATTCTGATTCTCTCTTTGAATCCAGCACTGAAAATACAGAAAATAAGTATTTACTATAGGGATTTTTGTTTAAACATAAATATAGTGGTTAAATAAATCATTAAACTCTTGATTGGAATATTTAAAGAGAGTCTAAAAAAAGTTTATTGGAAAAGTTCAAACGTATATTCATATTTTTCTACTTTTGTTTAGAGAATATAATTGCATAATTTGGTTTATATGAGAATTTAAGGCTTAAAAATAATTGTAAAATAAGCTTTTATTTTATCTAAAAAATTATATAAAGGTTCTGGCAACAGTATCAACAGAAAGTCATCCAAAAAACTCCGCAGGCCTAAAAAAATTAATCGTAAGTTTAGGATTTACAAATTTCCAATTACAATTTTGGAACAAAAAAGTGTTGGGATAGATCAGATATTAACACCATAATTTATAATAATTAAATTCAAACATTATTTACCTCAGTGTAAATTTTAAATTGGTAATACAGTGGTGGGGCATCCCTGGGAGCAGCAGCAGGATCCATCCGTGCAGATGTCCTGCTCTAATTCGCTTCGGTTTTCAACTCCTTGGCGGCATACACATTTTTTTCCATGGGCCGCACATTCTTTGGTTTAAACAAAATTGCAGTGCCGAAATTAATTATAGAGCCGCCGCACCCGGGCCATATTTAATTAAACGTGGACATTTTAAACTTGGAACCAAACGGAACCGAACCGAACCGAACCGAACTGTGCCGCCCAAGAAACGTGGAACCAAAAGGCGTAATTAATTAGTAGAGACGTGCCAAATAATTGCGGGCAGAAGTAACTTTTTCCCGTTTTTTTTTTTGTCAGGGACTCCTTTATTATTTCGCTGGTCAAGGAATGTTTCAATTACGTGTATTGCTGGGCTTTTTGGTGGTCCTGCTGCTGCTGCAGGACTAAACTTTTGTGGGGGTCAGGTGGAAATTAATTAAATTAGCAGGCGCACGTCATTACGGAAGAGTGTCGCACAAGGACTTGAAATATTTTGTAACGTTGCCATTACCTTTTTGGCCGGCATTTCCTGTGTCACTCAAACCCCAAAAACGCCGTTCGAAAGCCCCAAAAATTGCCGAAAATGGGCGCTGTGAAAATTCGCATACATAACCTTACTTCCGCTGGCTAAAACCGAAAACGTCATTTCCGACAAATTAGTCCAGTCAACTGTGCCACGATATATTGTGCTGGGAAATATGTGCAATGTGAGTGGGTGTGTGAATGTGTGTGTGGAATGAGCAAATTCCTGTGTTTCAGTGAAACGATTTCAAATCGCTGGCCACGTTTTAAGCATATTTCCTGGTTTTAGGATGCAAAAGCATTCGCTCTTTGCAGCTCCATTTGGCGACAAATGTTTCGAAAGCGTTTCGAAAATTTACCACTTTCCTGGCTCTTTATGGCATTATCATTTATGAGCAACCCATAATGGTTTCTTCGGCTCGTTACTTTTAATTGTCGCGCCTATTAATTGCATTTGCAATGTGTTATAATTAGTGGCGCATTATGGGAACCGTATTCTCCTTTCCCCCTGATATCAATCGATTTGTCCTAAATTGGCATCGAAAGGGAGGAGTGTGGGAACAGATTTAAAATGTAAATGTCAAATGAAGTTAATTCTGTAATATGAAAGGTATTTAATGACAAAGAATGGGTGGGCGGTCTTAAAGGATAATGGTTAATGGTTTATTTAAGGCTTTCAGAAAATGGGTTTTGAGGAGAATTTAAGTTCTTTAAATTGTAATTTTATAGTTTAAATTCAATTCATTGATAAATTATTAAGAAATAAGCATTTAAGCTTAGAGATCTCTAAAAACCAAGATGATATATCAGCAAATATAT